AATAATAATATCAAGTTTTGTATAGATCTTAGTATTATACAATATATCTAGTATTTTTTATATAATAAACAAAAGATATCGGTTTTTGATTATTATATTATTTAATCCCTGGTAATTTTGATAAATATAAACATTTTCGCCTAGCTTAGTTATTAGTAGAAGTAATACAGTATTCTAGAATCTGGATTTATATATAAAGTCTTTAAAAAGGTTTTTATTAATCTATTTTCTAATTATTTAAAGTTCAAGAAGAGACAAAGAATAATTCTTGAAATATAAAGGTTCTTTTCCAGATATTAGCTTAATCTTATGATCCCATACCCTTCGAGATAGCAATATATCAATATAACATAATAAAAAACCTGATAATAAATCTCTTAATTATAGAAGTAATCTTTTGCAAACCTTATTATTACTAAGTTCAGGTTTTCCAGTAAAGAACTTTATAATATCGACTTTTGTAATCTTTTGTAAATATATAGATTTATAATATTTAGCTATAAAATTATAAAGATATAATAGAACCTTGTTTAGTATATTAGCTATTTTCCCTTTCCCAAAGAGTATATCCTTGTAATCCAGTTATATCAAATCTGATAGTATTCTAATAGATTATAGGTAATCTGTTCTAGATGTGATTCAATCATTAAGGTGATCAATTTCATCCTATAAAAGATATATAATATAAACTTTATCTTATTTACAGAATAATACAAAATTGGTTGTTTATAATTATCGAATATTTTTTATATCTAGGTATTTGTGACGGAACAGACGGCTCTCTTCCACCCACTGGCTCATACTACATATGTAGCATGATACGATGGCTCTCTTGGACCTTCCTTTCTATAGCTCTAGACCTAGGCATCGTACGATGCTTATCTCTAGGACTCTTTCACTCTTTTGGGCCTAGCCCTTATGGCTCCCAATACCTGTATATATAGTCCTCCTTTTAGCACCCTACATAGCTCTTCACTTGTAGATTCTAAGTACACAATCGGAGTCCTGTTTATACCCTTTTGGTCACAGTATTGCTTGAGGTTTGTGAAAGTATTTGGTATTAGGGAAGATAAAGGTGGGAGTGGCTTGTTTTGAGACTTAGCTCAACTTTTGTATTAGTCAGTTAATTTCTATATTGGGATAGGGTAAACAGATGGACAGTTCCTAATTATTTATATTTAGATTAAATTATCTATTATATATATATAATAATGATTTATTCCAGGAATTAATATTGTTTCGATCTCAAGCTCGGTTTCCAAATCATTAAAAGATTTATATTCTTTGTCTAAGTGATCTTTTATAATAGGCTTGTAATATAATTGGAGAATCTTTAAAGGAATATTATTGAATACCTTATTCAATGTTTTATTCTCTAGGAATACTCAAACAGGTGGCAAAATGGTGAAGATCTTGACAAATGGAGTGATTGATTTTCGGAAACAGCTTTAAAACAGATTATTAATGTTTTGGTGTATAGATACTGTAGAAGCTTGGATTGAATAGTTAATATCCTATAGGCAGTAGTTGGTTATGCAGTATTGAGACGAAAATGAGAGAATTATGTTTCTCTAATTGATATATAAATTATAGTATTGAAGCTATAATAACCCAAAGATTAGAGAAGTACTTTATATAACAAATATAAAAACGTTATTGAAAGAGACTAGATTTGAATAAGGAAAGCCAGAAAGAGACTTGAGAGAGTCTATAATCATACCTAACAAATGGTGATTTGGAACTAATAGCTTTTAGATTCATTATATACATCCCGTATACTTGAAATATATTGCTCTTTCTAAAGCATACTAGATATAATACGTACTATACGTACGTTTTGCTATCTTAGAGGAAAGCCATATGATAATCACTTTATTATCAAAAGAGTATGATCCTTTGGCATCATTCCATATGTATTGCTGTAACACGTTATTCAAAGCTATCAACAAGTTAGTAGATTTTGAAACATAAGCTGCCAACATCAATAGGACTTTGAGCAGTCAATATAAGCAGATTTCCATTCACATTTGTTTTTGAGGTTGAACAAAAACTTCATTCAAGACAAACTGAGGTGAATGAAGGCAAGCCTCACTGTCCTCATTTCACTACTTATAATGTTTCCACAGCCTTGCTCATAATATTCGCTAACTAAATTTTTATTCACTTCCACCAAATTGACCAACTATATTTACATTTTACCCGATCTCTCGGCATCGCATCCCACCACTCTCTTTCAATAACTATTTGATTTGATTTGCAAGAGCTTTGAAGCTGTTGGTAACCATGGACTCTTCAGTCAATATGGGCTCTGGAAACAAGAGATGTAAACCCTTCTATTCTTTTCATATTTTGCTGGATGCCAGCTAACAATAGTAGTGTCCTTGCGAAGGTCCATTGTAGGATCCATCAAACGATCTTTGTCACCTCTTTCAAGAAAGTCCGACTCTCCAACTGTATCTCAAACCAGTTGTGATTCTGCTGAAAACACTCCAGATACTTTGTCTTTTCAGAAAGGTCTCCTCCTACAGACTCACGAGCCATCCATGTCCACATCCACATCCAGCAGATTCAAGAAGTCCAACTCTTTATCTCCCAACCATCATCATTTCACCGAATCTGCTGAAGATTCATCTTCACAGAAAAGTCAACCATCTTCAAATCATGTATCACCAACAACTAGCAAGATTTCGAAACCCAACTCTCTTCCACCTAGCAATCGAGCCTCTTTGCAATCTACGCAAGATGTTCCGACTTTAAATAAAACACTTCAAACTCATGCAGGATCCACTGCCAGCCGACTTAGAAAATCCCTTTCTACTTCTTTCTGTACTGATAATAAACATTCTGTCCAAGCTCTTAAGGATATACCAGCACACGAAAACAATCCGGTGCTCCCGACACAAACAACACCTTCAGCTAGCTTGCGCCTTCCCAAGAAGATCTATTTTTCCTCAAGAACCCCTAGTCATCGATCTTCCATCCAGTCGATACAGGAACTTCCATCACCAGAGAAGAATGTATCGCTTCCAGCTAGGGCATCATCCACATCCGGCCGATATTCTACAGGAGTGCGGCTATCATCGATTCTCAATCAAACAACCACAAAATCCGACCAATCTACTCCACCTACCAAGCGATCATCAATAGTTTCATTTCAAATTCCTGAAGGCGTCCATGCTAACTCTCCACAGAATGATTTGTTATTAGCAATCAAGTCTTCATCAAACGCAAGCAAGTCGAATCGCTCGAGCTGGTTCTCAGTATCTCGTACCTCGTCTACTAAAAGCCGAAAACAGTCTCACCTTACCGCACTTCAGCGTTTGACATCAGGCACCGGCAGAGAAACCACATTATCTCAACGACAATATGATGCGACTGAAGCCAAAGAGACTACACTTCCTTGGGACCCACCTTTCGATAGAAATTGTGACCTTATGGCTGATGATGGCATACCTAGTGATATGAATGAGCTTTTCGAGCACTGTGTTCCACCACGGCTTGACAACGGTTTCCCGCCATTATTCAACCTACCTATAAAAGTTCGCCGCAAGATATATTCTTACTGTTTACCTGACAGCAAAGATATCACGGTATCCCTATCGCCTCATTTTGCTACCAAGAATTGCTACCATGGATATTACTTCACGTCACCATGGGATGTCCTTGAACCCGTTGCTGGTGGACTGGCATCTTTCAGCCTCATGAGGAATGACTTGATGACTTACTTCTGGACCGAGTATCAATTTCATGCTACTTTAATACCATTCTGTAATTCTCTTTTCACTCCACTCACGAGCGTTTGGTTGCTCAACTTTCTGGATAGGATTCAGCACCTTACAATTGAAATTGATCTTACTAGATTTGGTGGCAACGCGCTCAAATTTGCTAGACGATTTGGTTACAATATGGAGAAAATGGAAAATCTTCTTTCTGTTGTTATTGATGGATTAATGGGGCGACGTGGCAAAATGGCCGAACTCATTGTATTATGTCGACGTTTCAGTGGAAACCGGCGAGTTGATGAAAATGATCCCACTTGGAAAGCAGAAGATGTTTTCGGTAGTGTACCCTTTTCTCATAGTCCAAAAGTTTCTTTCGTACACTGCTAATCAGTGTTCCAGAATATTTCCCGAAGGAAGCTATGCAATTCTGCGATGCAATTATAAATCTTCGTGGCACTGTCAAATCCGTCAGAATTGCCGGATTTCCTCTAGACTATACCAAGACTTTACTTAAATCTATGTTCGGCCAGGGAGAAGATTTACGGCAATATGTTACACCAAATCGATCTGCCTGGCCACCATGCCCTCAACTATATGCGGGGCCAAGACACGCTGCAAATCTATATGCTGCTTCCATATATCCAATGTCACCAGAACTCCCCGACTATCGAGATAGCCTCAATACGCAGTGGCAGTACGAGGCATCCATGTATTCTGGTGAACGTCCTGGGGAAGATGATGACAGCCTAGCGAGACCAGATACTTCTCTCTCTGTTACGACAGTTGGAGATCACGTCAAATTATATCAAGATCTTTCACCACCAACCGTTTCACTTGGCAGCTCTTCTGGCTCCGTGGAACCTGTATCAGACTTGATCGAGATACCTTCCAAGAATGCTGCAATTACTCAAGCAGTAATGGCAGCAGTAGATCGCAACAATTTGAAACGACGTAGCAAAAAGCCCAATCCACGAAACTCCAGAGATTTTAGTCCTGGACACTTCTATCATCAAGCAAGAGCTGAGCCCGAATCCGATTTGTTTAGCCAAGAAGGACAACAGACATTGTACTCTGACACAACGAATCAAATACGACAAGCATCAAATAACAAGAGGGCCAGTCAAAAAGCAAATTGGTCAGACACTCATTCATCCACACCGAGTAGCCATCGATCAGTCTCCGACGAGAAAGAAAAGCCTTTGCCGAAAACCCCAAATCCGTTAAGCAAAAGAAAATCACAATTTAGCGAAAGACAAATGCCGGATATTCCTGAGAGTCCTATAAATCCAAATCGTATTCTCTCTCCTACTCCACTTCCAGCGATTAGATCGGGCACACTTAAGCCATCCAACGATCGCCACTTAACTCGCATCCATTCGCATATTTTCACATCTGAAAATATTGAAAGCTCTAACAAGGACCCGTCACCCTCAACTTCATCCCTGGTTTCCGAATCAGAGACGGTTGCAATCGCGAATGACAGGATTATTGCCCGCACCCTTCCGAGAACAAGCACATCGGAAGTCCCGAACTATAACAAGAGTATTGTCCGCACCCCCTCGTTAACAAGCAAATCGGAAGTCCCAAAAGATAACAAGAGTATTGTCCGCACCCCTCCGAGAACAAGCAAATCGGAAGTCCCGAAATATGACAACGGTCCTAGTTCATCTCGCTCTTCTCTAAAACCTTCCACCCATGACACCCCACCGGTTCTCAAGAAGACCGTCGACCGCAGCATACTCCGTACCCCATCACCAAAAGCAAGAACAGTAGTAGCCACATCTCCCAATACATTAAATGACATCAACGAACGAGATCCCGCCTATCTTCGAAGCATCCGAGCTCTTCGATCCGCTTCTAATTCAACAGAAAGTATCATTAGAGCTCCAGCTAAAGTAGTACTCCGACCAACATCTCTGAAGTATCCGGCAATTCATACAAATACAGCTCCTGCGGCTCCACAGAGAAGTTCCACGGGTGCGGAACAGTCAAAAAAGAAGAGTGCGACGGAGCAAAGTGGTAATTCTGGCGAGTGGAGTTCGAAGAGGATGAGGTTTCTGGATATGATGTCAAGACGAAAGGGTTGAGTTGAGGGAGGATACTTGTGTTTCTGCACGTTTGTTGTGAAATTGTGATGAGAAATGGTTTACACTGTGATGTTACGGCAGTGGTGGTGAATCTTTTGTTTCGTGGTGATAGGATATTCACAATGTGTACGAAGTAGAGTAAAGTCTAGCCTTTCTTGTTTACCAAATACAAATGTTTCTTCAGCCCGAATTCCAGAATGCATGTATGCATCAGTAGATCCGGAAGTGACAACGAACTAAAATATCCCACATCCCGGTACTCACCTTGAAGTACGTTTTGGAATATAAACGTTATCTCTTTGCTCAAGATAAAGTAACGGAAATATGTGAAGACCTTGGCAAGGGGTCAAACACTTAGCAAAGGTAACACCAGTACTTACCTAGGTGTTTGCAAACCGAAGCCAACGATGGTATTCTAGTAAGTGCCAGTATAATTGGTAAGTTCTTGAATACTCTATGGACCATCTTGAAATCTTTTAGAACGTTCGACAAGAAGGTACAATAATCTCAGGAGGATGAAATATGTTCATGGAACAAACTAGCCGCTTACCTAATATCAATTCCTTATCGTAATGCGTAATCTACATGTGACCTGGCGTTTTGCGTGTTAAGAGATTCTGCGCGTGAAGCTTCCCTTTCATTTCCTCTCATGCCTACGATGTACGAAAATCAATCCATCAAACAATAATTCTCCGAGTTGATACGACTTGACGAAGTGGAGTAGTTACACTCTAGCACCAAAGATAATTATCCCGTCTTCGGTACTGCCTTTGATCATCTTCCTCGATGGTTTGGTTTGACAAGAAAGCCTTTGAATTCGTGGCATTTCCTGCAACTCCTTTCACAATGTGGACCATAGAAAATGATGGAGATGTTTTTGAAGGTAGAACAGACCATCCATCATATTGAACAAAAATATTATTAAATCAAATGCTAAGATTTACTCAGGCAAAAAACTATGGCTCGTCCCCGGGAAGAAATATCTCTTCGGTAGAACCGTTTCAGAAGGTTTGTTTGCCCATCTTCTTCGGCTTGTCACTCAGCTGACGAGAGTAAAGATGGTCAATTTGTGATTGCCGATAAATCGGTTTCGAGACAGCATCTAACGATTGAAGTTGGTACTGTTGGACCGAATGATTGTGTATGTTCTGAACCATCTAGGGATAATATCGATGCTGATAACCCTATAAGAGAAGTCCTAAAAGCCGGTCAAAAATCACTTTGAAAGATCAAAATACCAAAGTTGGTACTACCGTGAACGGAGAACAAATCAAGGGGAAAGAAGGCCACGAGATTACCAGTGACGTGAATGAAGTGTGCATAGGAAGATACAAGAAGTTGTTCCGGTAAGAAGTATCCTTGATCAATTTTGACACCATACTGATTTACTAGAATTACCTGGTATCCGGTTGCATTATCATTTTCGATTTCTCCAAAAGAAATGAAAGCAAGCCCCCTCGAAGCGCTTTATGCGACACTTGGCCCACTCGATATCAAAGTACTTACCGAGTATGAACGCGATGCAACGACCCACGTCGTTGTCAAAAAGCGCAATACGGCCAAAGGACTTCGAGCTTTGATCAACGGGAAACACATTGTGGATAATGATCCATTTATCCAAGCAATTGTCAATGCAACCACGCCAGAAGAAGATGGTACTTGTGGTTTGGAGAAGGATTTTACAGAAAACTTTCCAGATGCTATTCAATACCTTCCTGGGCGTGGCTCGGAATCTACGGATGAACCAGCAACGGCTTATGCTCCTGACCCCTCGAGGGAAACTATGTTCGACGGTTACACCTTCGTTTTTTACGATAAAGCTCAATTTGAGACACTCCTGGCACCCATTACGGATGGGCGTGGTAAGGCACTGTTTCGTGAAGTCACTCCTTTAAAGACGCCAATAGACGAGTTTGTAAGATACGTGAAGAATGTGGCAGGAGAAAAAGGAAATGGTGAGTTCGAAGATGGGAGCGAGGGAAAAGGTGTTGTGGTTGTAGGATTCTATCCCACCAAAGGAGATGGTGTTGAGTGGTTCCAAGATTTTGCTAGGCAAGTTGCTATCAATCTGGATCATCGACTTATCGTACAGAGTGAATTTTTGGATGCAATACTCAAGAAAGATGCAAGTCTATTGAGAAGACCTCTTGAGGTAGAGCTGTCTGGAATCGCGGCCCCGGCTCCAACACCGGGTAAGTCTGTTATCCTATTAAATGTTTAATGAATTACTGACAATAACAAGCTACAGACACAAACGCAAGCAGACCAAAGGAGACGCCTTCTAAGCCAAATCCAGTTCCACCCAAGCTTAGCCCAGTTGCGCCTGCTAAACCTTCTTCAGCTGGTGAATCGGCCACAACATCGGTTCTTAAGGATATTGTCTCACAAGATACTCAATTCCGAAGAGGTAGATCAAGAAGAGCTGTGACTAGTCGTTTCAGTGGGTTCGACGATGATGATGAAGATGATCCTCCAGCAGCCCCTGCCTCTCTAGCTCCCATACTGGAATCCATGGCAGTCGAACAACAACTCCTCAAGGAATCTCAAGGTCTCTTCGTCTCCCAAGATCCCAATCGCGAACCCGAAAGCTACCGCCCGCATTCCCAGTCTGTCGAACCGGAAGAGCCAGCCCAGACTCAGTTCACACGAACAACTAGAAAACGACACGCATCTCCTATCATGGAACAAAAGTCATACATGGATAGTTTCGCACCTACCACCGCATCATTCAAACGACAACGTCGAGAAAGAGGCGAGCCAACACCTCTCCCAGCCGTCAAAAAAGAAATAGTGGTTCCCGAACCTGTAAAAAAGAAAGAAAAAAAAGAAGTAGACATCCTCGCCCTCGCAGGCCAGCAACGTGAACGCACCGAAGCAGCCGCCAAAGCCGAACAAGAATCCTTAAAACAACCCATATCCACCATCGACATTGAAGAAATGCGCAAGCTGACCATTGTAGAGGATATGGAAGTGAGACGTTCCAAGCCAGCGCCGAAAACCACAACGCATGTGGATGAAAGTGAACGATGGGATGATAAATGGAACGGACGAAAGAATTTCAAGAAATTCAAAAGGAAGGGTGTGGATGATGGTGGGTCAGTGAGGCCGCACGCTAGGGTTATCGTACCGCTCGAAGAAGTAAAAAAGCGTGGTCACGGAATTGGCGATGAATACTGGGGACTAGGTGGAGAGGATGGCGACACACAAAGGAGAAGAAAAAAGGGCAAGGCAAAAGATACACAAACGCAAATGGAAACTCAAAAGGTGCAAGCATCCATATCAACATCTCATTCCAAACCAAGACCAAACCCAAAACAAAAGCCGCAAGCTCGAGATATCAATTCCGATAACGAGGAAGAAGAACTCCCTGAAAATCCAATGCTCGCTCCTCGTGCGCAGAGCGCACAATCGGAAGCGGAGGATGAGAATGAGGTGGGTGAGAGGGATGAGGATGCGTTTTATCCTACTGCTATGCCGCCACCGGCTTCTATTTCTACGAGAGCAACTACGAGGGGGAATTCGACGGTTGGTCGGAATACTGGTGCTGGTGCGAATGTGGGTGCGAATGTTGGGGCAAATGCGCATAAGAGAGCAGCTACAAATCCATTGACGAAAGCTGCGCCGCCGGCGAAGAGAGCAAGGGTTGTGCCGCCGCCAGCAAGAAAGGTGGAGGTGGAGAGTGATAGTGATAGTGATGAGGATCGGTTTGTATTTCGGTGAGGGAGACCCCTGGGTGAAGGAGGGAGGGAGGGAAGAATATTTTGCGGAGGGGTGGGTCTCTTTCATGATTTGGTTTGATTTGATTTATCTTTGATTTCGTTTGATTGTTGTGATCTTTTACTATGGTTTCTATTTTATTCTTTGCGTTATGTTCAAGTTTAAGCAAATACCATGCCCGTCTATGTATGTATGTCTGTTCTGTCTGTTCTGTCTATATAATGCATAGCTATCTATACATATGCATGTAAATATACGCCCATCTATGCAAGAATCTAGACCTTATTGAAGTCTGGAGCTCAAGCTCTTCTTAAACGCCTAACATACCAACAATTTAACCCAAACCAATCACTCCCTTACTCCTCTAATCCATATCCTCCAATCCACCACCCCCCTCCCCCTCTTCCTCTCCCACACTAATCCCCACCAAACACGCCTCCAACATGCCCTCCCAATTAACCCACGGATGCACCTCCCCAAAAAGCCGGGTCCCATCTCTACCCGCACACTTCAATAATTCGGGTTCGCCTCCTGGATGATATGGTAAATAAGGTGTGATGTTATAGACCTTGCCTCCGAGAACAGTCCATGCATCTTTTCCTTTTCGGCCGGTGAATTGCTTTAAAAGGGAGGGAGGAACGCGCAGGAGAGGGGAGGAAGCAGGGAGACCGCGGAGGTTGGAGTTGGGGGAGGTGGTGAGGCGCGCCCAGTCGAGGGGGGAATGTTGGGGGGTTAGGAGGACCTTTTTGCGGGGTTTGAGCGGGATGGATGTATGGGATGGTGGAGGGGCGAGCGAGGGGGCGGCGAGGGATGAGGAGGGTGTGCGATTTGGGAGAGGAGAGCGGAGGCGATTGGGTATGGGGGCGCGAGATGGGGCGGCGAGTGATGGGGATGTATATTTTGGGAGGGCGTTTAAACGTGGGGCTGTGAGGGGACCGCCTGAAGCGCGTTGTGCGGAGTTTGCGGCGGGGAAGGAGGGTATTTCTGGTTCTTCAGTTGAGGTGGAGGTGGATGTTTCGTCGAGGGAAAAGGATGGGATGTTGGAGGTGGGAGAGGGTTGTGAGGCGTTTGCGCGGGGAGTGGTTGGAGAGGAAGGTCTTTTTAGGGCAGGTGTGGGTTTTTTGAAGAGAGGTGGTGGTGGCATGGCGGCGCGGTCGAGTGCTGCTTTGCTGGGTGGTGGTATAATAGGTGGTGGCATATTCTTATACTCTGTAGCTTTGGTATTGGGCGCTGGTATAATAGGTGGTGGCGGCATGTTATTATACTCTGTAGCTGTCGTCTTGGCGATTGTCGCATCTTGGAGAGGTTCCGTTCTTTGAAAACCTGGCGCATTGATAGACTCTCCTAATTTCGTCGTCGTCGCATCTTGGAGAGGTTCTGCTATTTGAAAACCTGGCGCATTGATAGATTCCTCTAATTTCGCAGTCGTCGTATACTGAGGAGGAGCTTCTGTTATTTGAAAACTCGGAGCACTTGTAGATTCCTCTAGTTCGGGTTTCCTTTCATTATTCGACGACGGCGCATCCGCAGATAGTGACGACCTTAAAGATCCTTCTACTCCAGATCCCTTTTTTCCCTCATCTGCGATTGTAATCCCAGGCACAGTATCCTCTCGTTTCCCTCCATCTCGAATACTAGTCGCAGGTCGCAATCGATGCAGGAACGCCCACCATGTTGTAGGAGAATGTTTGTAACATAGAAATGATACTGATGCTATCAGGAGACTTAGTCCTAAAAGGACCATGGTAATGACTGTGTGTTATGTTGAGTGAGGAGTGAGTGAGTGAGTGAGTGAATGAGTGAGTGAAAGGTGTTTGTACAATTCTGTATATCATAAAAGGGATTTGTAATACGCCACAGCCTCGGTCACAAAATTCTTACAGTAACTTGATAGAGTAGTGAGAAGGCCCGGGCAGAATCTTTCGGTTACGCTAGGCGACTGCGACCGAGTGTATTTATAGGGGGCCCAACTTTGCTATTTTCTTTGGGATGACATCTCCTTATGAGTTACCGGGTAGTGGTTATTCTCCTTAATATCGTTTTGTTATTTATATAGTACTGGTATTTACAATTTATTGAGACTACATTATGGCTCTAGAACTGCGAGAATATAGTACAGAGTAAAAGTAAGCAAAAAGACCTAGGAGCACATGTACAACTGTAACCGCCTATCAATGACAACAACCAGCTCTGCATCGGACAACAGGGTAAATCCTCGTGGATTAAGAGTACCAGCAGTACCGGTAGCAGTACAAAACAAGGAAGATAAGATATCAAAGGGTTGATAAGGCTTCCCCCATGATCTCTAGACCTTTTCTAGAAAGATTGAAGATTGGTATTTCAGTTACCAGTTATCAGTTTTTATTAATTAGGTAGCTTCGGTGAGTGGTGTAGTATGTATGAGATGAGGGGTCAATAATACACCTACCTACCTACCTAGTATGTTGTACAGTCCGGATAACGGGATGCTGTACTTGTACGGATGATGTTATGATATTCGCTTTATGGCATGAATTTGCAATCAGACATACAGTACCAGTGTTGAGGAAATAATAGGAGGGACTAATCTTCATAGTTAAATCTGTTTCCATCAGTCTTATTTGTAAAACATTGCTAGGAAAAGGGAGTATGTTACTATCGCAAGAAGTCTTCGGGTAGAGTTTGTTGCTTTTAGACTCATAAAGTAGAAAGTAAACACTAATTGTCTTACAAGTAACCTTTCTCCTACACAAACTTTGAAGCTTTAAATAAAAAATTAAATATATCTTTCGTTGTTTAATTTAGTTTAATGTATTCATACGGGTTTTCAATTAAGGACTTCTTCATTTGAGAGTGGATATTTCAAGCTCCTTGTAATTCATCCTCATCATATCACATCCATTCATTCGCTTGATACTTACAGTAATGAATGGCCCGCCTCATTCTCAATGGCCCATCCATCTACCACTGCATCTACCCCAAACCCAAATACAAGATCCACCCCTTTACCTTCACCACCTTCAAAAACTACATCAACTTCTTATCGAAAACCTCTATCAACCAAAGATTACAAGAATGTCATAATGCGAGTTGTTTCGCAGACAGATTCTGCGCCGTTGACCGCCAAAAGTACCAATCCAAATATGCCTTCATACGATAAGCCAAACACCAATCGACCATTGGCACCAACTTTAAGTGCCTCTGCGAACAGAGGAAATAAACCAAAACCTCCATTAACACCAAAAGTCTCAGCGAGACCTGCTTCGAGACAATCACGTACAGAAAATACTACACCCAATAATGCAAAAGAAGATCTATCGACTCCCGTCTCTACATTCCTGAATAGTAACAACATAACCGGGAGATCTAGCACACGAAAGATTCGACTTGATACGTCAAGCAATTCACCATCAGGAACCCCCACATCCTCCGAAGCTCCCCGATTATTTGATCATACACAAAATGGCGCTGGATTGGGAATCTCTGGGTTTGAGAAGGATACATCGAAACGAGCGGCAGTGGCGTTTAGTCCCTCTAATTCTGATTTGAATTACTCACAATCATCACAATCTTCTGCCGACTCCAAATTCTTTTTTGCTAGTGATGTCAAACCACAGAGTCATAGTTCGCAGCAAACAAAACCTCCACCCCCTAAAAATGCCTCTACATTCTTCCATGCCAATGGAGATAAAGTTCCTAAGAAACCACCACCACCACCACGTTCTGGGGGGTCGACTGTTGGATCAACTATTGGAGAAGACCGAGGGCATGCGAGATTCTTTCATGCCAATGGCACTCCAGAATTACAATTGTCACCTTCGCCACACTTTGCGCCCCCTCGCCCGAGTTCAGTTCTCTCAAGTCATTCTCGAATGGCATCACCACGGCTAGCAAATGCTACGACGTCCCCTTCACAACGACCTGCATCACCACAGAAACTAAATACTCAATATGCCCCAATATCTTCAGTCAGGGCTCCTACCCCACTGGATTCTCCTGTTTTACCTCGACCAAAGGCCAGCGGCCGTCAGCAATTGGCAAATACTACCATAAACTCAAGGAGAACAAGTGCAGATTCGGAAAAAGGTCATAATCGAGCAACAAGCTCGGGTTCGTCTATGGAGAGACTATTAGTGTCAAGAAAGGTTTCATCCGGGGGCCACTCCATTAATATACCGAATCCAATCACAATAATAGAACCATCAAGTCCAGCTTCGATGGCACACACAGACGAGCTACTGGAAGGCGAGGAAGAGGAAGAGCCAGGGGAAAGTGAAGACGAAGACGATGATGAGGACGATAACCGAGAGTCGATCTCTTCTGAAGAGGAAGCTGAAGAGGAAGTAAAGGGAGAAGTCCTCAAGGCAGGAGGATCAATAGAACGGATGAACGAATTGGCAGCCATTGCACGTAATGAAAGAAAAGTGTTAGATCTGGAAATCACAAATTCATCCCTTGCCGCTATAAATCGAACTTTGGAACGGGAGATGAGGAAACAGAATGCCGAACTACGAAGATATAAACGACTGAGTCGTTCCGGTCGGTTTTCCATGGCTACAGGAGCATCATCACGTGCAAAGAGTGGAAATTTGTCGGTTGTGGATGAGAAAGAGGGCAGTGCTTTATCAGATATCAGCCAGGAAAATTCTGAGCTTGAAGATGAGGAAGATGGCGGAGAAGAGGACTTGACGTCTGAGGAGGAATCCATCGATGATGGAACTCTAAGTCCTGCTGCCGTGGCGGAACATGATCTCAAACATCGAAAGAAAGACGAGAAACGACTACGACTCGACTTATCTAAACATCAACAATTACTCATCGACAGTCAAAAGATGAACCAAAGCCTAAAAAAGTGTCTAGGCTGGACCGAAGAACTCATCAATGAAGGGAAGAGGGCATTAGAGTATCGAGTAAAAACTAGCGATATAGGACCCCTCGCACCTCGCGTCTTAGCACCAGACGAACTCGAGGAGAATGACGCCGAAAACGATAACGAGGGTATGTCTGCAATCGGCGCGAGTCTCTTGAGAGAAGCGAGGAAAGCGGCGGCGGAACAACATAAAGATAAGGGAAATCACTTGGCTATACCAACCGAGACAGATGAACAATTGGAAGATTTAACTCAAGATATTCAATTTGCTCTTTTCGCATCAGGAGAATCGGCTGAATTGCCGACGGACGAGAAGGCGAAAGATGGAGCTCTCGAGTCGGTACCGATTGCTCCGCCTACAAGTCCATGGGTTTCTACTTTTACTTCGAGGCTGCAGACACGTTCGTAGGGGTAGGGGAAGAAGGGACGAGTGAGAGAAATGGAGCAGTGGGGAGTGGGGAGTGGGGAGAGGGATTTGGTACGGATGAAGGAAGACGGGATATGCACATATTATCATATCACCACTCATACATTTGCATTCTGAGCGCTTTTTACAGTACTTTTTTTCTTTCGCTAAGGGCTAGGTTTTCTTTGGGAGGGGGGAATTGGGATCGGGCATTCATTCATTTATTCGTCTGAATAAACAGGCGTTTCTTTTTTTTTTCTTCCGAGGTTCTGGCATAAATGGACAGACATTGCGATGGCGCTTTTCATTTTTGGGATGGGATGGGAGGGAGGTTTTGGGATGGGATGGGATTGCTAGTTGTTGACAAGTAATTTGTTTGATTGGTTGGCTAATGGTTTCTTGTACATTGATTATTGGTTATTGGTCATTGGTTATTGGTTCTCGTACATATAATACCCCCAAGCACTCTATTTTGCAAAAGAATACGATCAGATGAGATGAGATGAGTTGAGATACCCAAGACTACTATAGTGCTATAGTATTACTTTCTTTGATTGAAGAGTGGGGAGTGGGGAGTGGAGAGAGGATGGGGGGAGTGAAGAGAGAATAGAATGGGAGGGGGGGGAGCATAGATGGAGGGATAGAAGGACATGATAGGACTCGGGCTCAGACTCAGGCTCAATATGAGAGAGTGAGAAAGAGAAAGAGATAGATAAAGAAAAAGCACCAAGAGTTCCACAACAGGATATCTTCATCAAGTAAAGTAAAGAAGGAAGGGAATACCTAAGGGCATACCTAAGTAAGGAAAGGAGGAGAATGGGTACATACTAGTAAGATTGAATTGAATTGAATTGGGATTAAGAGAGGAGGGGAAAAAACAAACACACTGGCAAGAACATGATAGATTGCTTGCTTGCTTGCTTGTAGGATGGTAGGATAGCAGGATGGTAGGATGGTAGGATATAGAATTGATTTGATTTGATTTGGATTGAAATGAATTGAATATACATACCTCTATACATATATATATATCATATATTATTATATATCCCAGTGCAAAATTTTAGATGCGATGCGATGCGATGCGATGCGATGGGTGAGATACTCGAGTACAGTACATGTACAGTACCGAGATACCGTTGTATTTGTTATACTCGTACTCGTACATAGGTACTTTAGCTGCATGGCAGGGTAGGGCAAGGTAGGGCAGGGTAGGGTAGTGGGTGGAGTTTGTGATGAGAAATTTATGTATGGGGTTTCTATACTACATGTATATGGGATGAGATATGGTATGATATGATGATAAGATATAATAAATATAATGATATGATATGAATGATTGAACAAGAGTAAATTATCCTTCCTAGTGGTATCCATAAATCCAAAATCCAAAATCCGGCTAAATGGTATGAGATGAGATAACATAATATAAAAACACAACTCCATTACATCAACATCAACATTAAAAAACTCACTGTCTTTCTTTGCATTCTTCCCTCTCCCCTCCCCTTTCTCCTCTTCGTTACCCTACCATCAAATCCAAATTCTCCAGACTTTCTTATCCATACTTCTTCTCAATCTTTTTCAAAATGCCCGTAACGCTCTTCTCCAATCTCCCCGCATTATCCTCCAGTCTCCCCCTCGGTCCCTTCTCCTTTCCCTTTCCATTCTCCCCATTACCCTTCCCCTTCTTCCCATCATTCTTCTCCTTCTTACGTCCACTCCCCTTCCTCTTTAACTCAGCCTCTACTTCCGTCGGCCTATAAATTTGCTGATGAATATTATAATCACTTTGAGTCATCAATGGCTGACCCCCTGACGTTTGCGCACCGGTATAATTATAATTTGAGAAGCCTCCTGGGGGAGATAAAGGTTGGAGACCTGGGGCAGGGGAAGCAAGAGGAGGATTTTGGTGTTGGGGGGCGAAACCGGGGGAGAAGAGGCCGGGGGTAGGGAGGTTGTGGGTTGGATAGGAAGGGGTGGAGGAAAAAGTCGCGTATTGGGTGATGGGGGCGTAGTTGGGGGAGAGTGGGGGAGAGGAATATGCCGGGGGTGCGGGGCCGGTGGGAGTTGCGAGGGGTGGATTATTATCGGTAGGTGGTGGCGCGAAGGTGTTAGGGCTGTTTGTTGTAGGTGGGGGTGCAAAAGAAGGGGTTTGAGGGGGGAATTGTTGGGAGAATGGGGAACGGAGTGAGGTTGTAGATGGGCCAGAGCCGGGGAAATAGTTGGAGTTCGGAGGGGTATCGGTATGTTGCGGTGGGCTTGCTGCTGAGAAACTTCCTTGTCCATGCGCCTGCTGTGGTGGAGACATCATAGGGAATGTTTGTTGTCTTTGAATTTGTGGTGGTGGGGCTGTTGCGAAAAAACCTGGATGTTGCTGATATTGGGATTGTGGGGAGAATTGTTCTTGATCTGAAGTGGCTGCATGGGCAAGTGGATTTCCAGCTCCGTCTTCTGGTGGAGGTGTCTTTTCTCGATGCTGGATAGCTTCAGGAGCAGCTGGTGCAGCTGGATTGTACGCCATTGGGGAAAAGGCAGTAGGAACCTGTGATGGTTGACTTGAAGAACTTGACGGTCCAGGAAACGAGACGTTTATAGCAGCTGGAGGAGAAGTTCGAGAAGTCTTGGTTCTACCATGCTGGTATGAGGGGTCCCAAATAGCTACGTTCTCCAATTGTTGAACCACTGGACTCATATCGTCGGCGTGGGATGGTGGCGGTGCCGGCTCATCCTCGATCGTAATCTGATGTTGAGGCAGAACTCTCCGCACTCCATTCACAAAATTGAGTGCATCTTCTTTATTCCAGAAATACAAGTCAATAGTGTGAAGTCTGTACATGTATTTCACCTCGTTGCGTGGATCGAAAGTTGGTAGATGCCATTCTTGAGTTCCAATGGGGCTATTTCTTTGCTGTACATTTGGTCCATCTACAGTCAAAGACACGAGTGTGGTATGCTTGTAAGAGTACTTGATGTGAGCAGAATCGAGATCTATGGGTTTGTGATGTCAGCAGATGTGACTTTCGCCATTTATTTTGCCTGTACATAACTTACGGCCAGTAAAAGCATCTTGATCCGGAGTACCGGCATTGTTAGCTATTTCAAGTCGAGCTCTTCTCTGTCCTGCATTCTCGAAAAGATAGACATATGAGCCTTTATCAAATCTGTGATGAGGAGGTTTGGCCGTTGGTGGTCCATAGTAAAAATGTATATCTGCGAACCTGTAATGTATTAGATCAAAGAGTTTCAAAAAGGACTCGGGAGTTGTCACTTACAAAGTAGCTGCAAGATCTTCCCCTGGTCGTGCTGCCATTATTATCGACCTGCGATTATTGATAGCTAAATAGATACTAAAGAAGTGAAGCTAGACGCTTTTTCGCTCAACGAAAGGAACAACAGAGAAAAGAGAAATGAAAGAATACTTAGTGAGTGAGAGAGAGAGAGAGAGAGAGATAGAAAGAGAAGGAGAAAGGAATTGAAAGAGATCAATATGCTATTTCATACCGAATTACCTGCAGCATGGGTGGTGATTGTCTTGGTCGGCGGCAAGCTGCATGAAGGTTAAACCAATGAGGGAGGGAATTGAGGTGATAGAAAGTTCATGCCTTAAAGCCTTATCGCGATTAGATAAGGCAGAGACTAAATTGTTTTTGTTTTTGGCTTCAAGGAAATAGTTCAAGGTTGTATATCCTCAATTTATTACATGAGAATCTCCCAAAGCCACAATTACTAGAGACTGTGATTATAAGGCTTCTTCAAATCTAGAGGTAGCGATTTCAACCACACTTTTAAGAAAAAACTAGCTAACATTCCCTTCAGCATCTCATCCACAACTCCACCTTCAAGAAGATATCCCTGGTAAATCTCACCAATTGTGCCCGCGCGGGCTTGCGACTCTGTCTTAGAGACATTTAATTCTCATCATGTCTCTCGTAACACTCTCACACGTATCTTCGCATCTCCAAAATGCTTCGAAGGCCCGACTTGGGCTTACCTCGGTCCCCTCTTCGAACATGATTCTCACACTCATGCTCGGTCTCCAAACTTCTGGATTCCTATCCTCCGTCACCCGCGGCGGCCTCACCCCTCCTCCTATGGACGAATTATCGACATATGTTCCCGAACCTGTTACACAGCGAAATATCTCGACAAGGAGGTTGTGGTTGGGATTGAAGTACTGGAACAATGAGCCGGTGTTGAGTAAAATGTCGATGCTCAGTAAACCTACAAGAAGAGTTTGGATGGACGTAGAGACTCTTTCGGAAATTGTTAGGGGAAGAGATGCGAACTTTGTGGAGGGTTTGAGGATACCGGGAGAGTGTATCTATATCAGTACATCGAGTGGAATCATGGAGGCAAGAGAATGTGTAGAAAGGAGAGTAGGTGGTATGCTTTTATGCAGGGTTTTATAGGTGATGAGGTCAGGAAATGTGTAGAACTACTGGGGATCATCATTTGTGGGAGTTCAACAAGTGTATAAAGAAATACTCGTGTCGCCCTAAATGGTAGATCAATCACGGCTTGAGAGACAAAACTTCGAATTTCGATTCCAGAATCCATAAGGGATAACTTATTGGTGGGCCTAAAAACACGTGCCTCCTCCGCGATCCTTGAATGCAAAAGAACAATACATCAACTCGTTCAACAGATTCTCAACCCCTCATTGCATCAATATTCAAATATGCCCAAAAAGCGCGAGCCAATGGCAGCCACGGTCCCAGTACTTAGACTTAACATTCCATTGGAGGACTATTCTGCACCTCTAGTACCTCTCGATTATCCAGTTTCTCCTCCGCTCGTCGTCCATGAGCTTCAGAAGCTCCAGTTCTCCTCGTTTCATTGCGATATACGTGACCACCACTGCCTCACCGAGTATCTTATGCATGCCTTGGTCAATTTTGAGAGCGACAAGTGCCTCCTCCAAAGTACACGGCAGCATTTCTTTGATGTTGTAATCATCTCTGTCTGCCAGGCTCAGTTTGGTGGGATTCATGTCGCAATCAAGCCATGTCATCTTGTCTTTTGCAATCACGCCTTCTACACCGGCACCAATCAGAGCTGCTAGGGCCAAATAAATGTTGGCAAGCCCATCAAGACATCTGACTTCCCAGTGGGATCCGTCGATTTTTCGTAGCGGCGTCTCTCGATTTTGCGTCCCCCAAGTCACCCATGTACTACCGGCCCAACCGCCAGTTGCAGACATACGGTCGTAGCTGGCTGGGTTGCTATAAGTAAAAGCCGTGATTGATCGAAGGTGTTTCAATATTCCAGCATAGAAATGAGTATAGGTCTCTTCTTTCTCGCCTTCTGGGGTAGGTATGGAAAGGTGAACATGTGCTCCCGTGCCGATTTTGTTTGGAAGAGGTTTGGGGTGTAATGTGGCGCGCCATCCATGATTTCGTGCAACTGTGGTAATGATCTCGCGAGCTTGTAAAAGTATATCTGCAGCTTCGAGGGGTGCACATGCAGGTAGGACAAATTCGAATTGGCCAGTAGCTGACTCTGGATGCCATTGTTCAATATCGATACCAGCGTTAGAGAGTGTATCGACAATCTCACCCACAGCATCTGTGATGGCATGGGTGAGGGCATTACTAGATCCCCAGCAATGAGAGTCCGTACCCGGAAGAGGAGTAAAGTTGAGTGTGCTGTCGTCTTTGCTAAGTGTGCCTTTCATGAACACAACTTCAATCTCGAAGCCAACGAGAAATTCAAGATCATGATTCTTTGCTTCATTCAATACGCTTCGGAGAGTGGTTCTGGGGCATACATCCAGCGACGAGTTGTCGGGGTTGCGAAGTTCTGCTTGGGCTGACGCATACCCATAACAAGGTCCGGGACGTATTGAAGAGAGAACGGCATGTAGAAGCCTACATACGCCTCTGGGAGAAACTGAATCGATGCGATGATCGTTTGGCATGAGAGTTAAGCTGCTGTTAGTGATCCCAATGGATACATCAACCTTTTCGTCGTAAAGGAGATTACGGACACGTTTCACAGGTAAAATTCGTAGTCGAGTGATGGAACAGTAATCGATATATTGTACACGCAGAAAATGTATCTCTGGATGTTTTGCCATGAATGATTCAAAGATCTCGAGGTCCGATGGATACTGCGAAGCGTCTGCGCCACTGATACCCTTGATCCCGTTGCTTTCGTAGTATCCATTGACTCCGTTGCATTCATCCATGATGTTGGTTCGATTGATGTTGTCGAAACTATTGAAACTATTGACGCCGTTAGCATCGTTGGTGTCGTTAATTCCCTTGATCCTTCTAGCTCCGTTCACACCATTAGTAAGCCGTTCAACGATCTGTGATTCAGTTGACCTCAATCTTAATTGGAGGTCATAAAGCTCATTAGATGTGTTGAAGAACACATTTTCGACGAATTTAACGGCTTGTGCAATAGTCAATGCCTTTCTTTCAACATATTCCATGAGTATCTGGAGACCCATCAGTATGACCAGATGTTGATTACGTCATCAAGTGGCTGTAGCTCACCTTCTCAAAAGCTTCGCGAGATTGGATCTTTGCGAGTAAATATGTTTCTGGAAACCAGTGTCCGTTCGTGCTCCACACGATCTTTTCTGTAGGACAAAGCTCTAGCAGATCGCGAATGATAGCCTCTTGACCATCTTGACTTATACCGGGAAATACTTCGCCAATATCAGTATAGACATTCGAGTATACAGCAGCTAGATATCCAGCTTCCTTTGTCCACGGGTACCCCGCATGAAGCAGAAGGATCGGAACGTCTGGATACTCTCGAATGAAGTCTTGCAGATGGGATGGCGAAGAGCGAGTGAAATTTGTGTCATTATCACTCAAGCCAGTGTGGAACTGAATTGGCTTCTTATGAGTTGTTTTGGACTTCTGTATGGTTTCAGCTGTCATGTGAATAATCCAGGAATTCAACAGTTGACCATTCGACCTGTTTAAGCGAGTATGACCTTCGGCTTTCTGTTTCCAGATACATCGCAATAAAGATAGTTTCACCTCTTCCAATAAACAGGCCCGAGAAATTTCAAGCCCTGTTCTGTCACAGATGATTGATTTAAAGGCGACAACATCAGGGTCAGAGAGAGCATCATTGATGGCTTTCTGAAGCCCCTCGAGCACCGAGGCAAAGAATCTGTCTTCCGAAATAGCGAATAAGTCGAGGTTCCGGTCTACTATTTCCGCTCCAAGTGTTTCGATCCTTACTATTCTCTTACACTTACCTATGACAGCCAAGGTCAGCAAAGCATAAAAAAACGGGCAGACATGTACCGCGTCGAGGTAACACAGCTTTTATACGAGTGCGGGGAACTTGGAGATACTTACTACTTGTCAATTTGTCGTGCCAAGAATAATCGAAGGCGTCATTGTCCGCATTTGGGCCGTCATCGAGAAGAATTGTTTCGATTCCTTCAAGGCATCGTTTTGCCCACACATTGCCTGGTTTCACTTTTTCTTTTGCGATGGCTCCTGAAACATCACTCCACGTTTGTGGACAGTCGAGAATATCAGCAAGTTGATTTATAGCTCGAATTTGTGCCAATGATGAAGGATTAGCTCTCAGAGTATCTTCATTTGCCTGGGTGGTAATGCCTAGTAGGGGATATTTCGTCGTAGCCGAAGGAATAAGTAATGGGTGAGCGTGGTTGTCAATTAGAGGAGTTGTTCGAATAGCATGGATGAGTCGCTCCATGTTGTGGATAAAAGAGTTGTAACTTAATTGATGATTGTTTAAATGTCTCAAGTATCTGCAGACATCTGGCAATTTATAATTCGGAGGTGAAATCTGGTTAACATTTGCCCCTCACTGCCCCTCATTGTTGCCCTCTGTGGTGAAGTCATGGTGTGAAGTTCAGTGACGCCTTCAAGTGCTGAACACCCACTTGGATGCGGGACATGGTAAATATATGCTTCATTGGTAGACTTGCATAGCTGTAATATAAAAATGTCGAGAAATACTTGGTATTCATATATCGATGGTACCACGTAGAGTAAAGAAGGTTGAGGGAAATGAAGCAGACACGAAGGACAACTAAAAGGCGGGAATGGGAATAGCTTCAATTGAGATATAAGTAACGGCAATTATCATTTACTTCCATGGAGCACCAAAACCTATTAGATAGATTAAGGATTAATCACTCTACAGGCTAGAGGTTCCATCATACATCTGGCCAGGCTCTGTTCGCCGGTAAAAAGAAAAGTTTTCAACTCAATGGCCTAAGGCATTACCATGAATGCAGCCAACCAAATTGGTTCACCGCTCGGACCGGTGAATGGTAACCAGCTGGAGTCGTACTTGCAACTTGCAGCTTGCATCTCATTTACCACATCTTTTCATTGTTTCTTTTTCTAATTGTTCAAACTTCATACTGGATACTGAATACTGGACACTTCATACTTCACACCAACTTCCATCACCCACCTCAATTTTAGTACATTTTCCACAAGAACATGGATATATTCTCATTCAGCTCATTCCAATATTTTGAAACCTTTCCAAACCAGCCATTTACCAATTCACCAATATGTGGCTGCCAGCTTGCCAATATCTCTCGAAGCTTTGGGTTGCCCTCTTCTGAACATAAGTGTGCGAGCAAAAGGAAAAAGGTCAAAGTGGCCAGACCTATTGCGATTACAAGACCGTTTGGTACATCGAATCGTAGAATACACGGGTTTGTTTTACCTACCGGATGTCAGCAAGTTACACCCAATGAGCAGAACGAGTAGAGTGGCTTTTACTCAATTCTTCTCAGAACATGAGTGTCATCTTTGGTGACCAAACACGGTCCTTATTGTTACCGTCTTTGCAATTTGGCAATATACCGTGATTCACCTGCACGGGAAAAGGGCACTGCTATGGATCCTTCATCTATATTCTTTTTCCTATCCCTCAAATTAAATTTTGCGAGAATGATTTATCCCTGAATGATCGTCGATTGATATTGTATGAATTTGAAGATTCAAGTTTTGCTAACATGAGTATCGTCTTGAATACACTCTAGTACTGGAGCATGGCATTCAGTACGAAGGCGCCAAGTCACTTTGGGCGCCGGAACGGTTCCGGCTATAAGTGTGTGACCATAGCAAATATAGAGAAAGAGTCCCCGCCATCATCCCATATGCCAACCTCATTGCTATGAAATACTTCAAAGATCTTGGAACCATACTTATCTCCGCTATTGTATCGGATGTGCCCTTGCCTTGCTTTTCCAAAGATGTCAAATTAGTTAAAAATGGCACACCAACTTACGCCTGCGACTACGAATATCGCAGGAAGTTTGAACATGACTGCAGTTGATCAGAAGAATCCAGAAAGTTCATCGCGAATTGAGAGAGTGTTTCCCATCCGTATTGAAACAGGGTCAGGTACAGATTAGGTTCTTAGAGCTCCACCAACAGCGCCAACTAACGATATATAGAAATACTTGATCCAAAGTCTAATGATTCTAGTGTTGCGAAATATCAGAATGTGTCGGACATCACAGTTTCTAAAGTTGATCCGGTTGTTGTGTCCGATGTCGATAGTGCCATCGAGACAAAAGCTCCAAAAGTTGTTTTGGCAGAATCTTGCCGGCCATCATCACCATCCGAACGCACTTTCATTACAAGTTCGATTCATCATTTACTTTCTGACAATCAATCTACTATCAACCGTGCCAATGACGAGAGAGTCCTCCGTTGCGAAGATGAGCCCATTCAGATTCCGGGATCGATCCAAAGCTTCGGAGCATTGATAGCTCTTGAAGAGAAAGAGGACGGACAATTCTCGGTCCGAATTGCAAGTGAGAATTCTCAAACCATCATTGGTCGAGGACCCGAAGACCTGTTTGAACTCTCTTGTTTCACCCAACTGCTCAGTCCAGTGTACAAATCAGACTTCAAAGCTCGAATTGAAGCCAGAAAACTGTGGCATAAAAAAGAAAATCTCAAAGCATATCCAGATACTTTCACAATGATGCTTGAATCGATTCCACATACTCCTATGTATTGCGCTTTGCATTTTCGTGAGGATGCGGGCTTGTTTATATGCGAGTTCGAAGCAAAGAATGATCTAATGACTGACATTCCTCCGGAGAATTCAAGCTTGCCTGGTGAATCGGTCAACGTTATTGACAATCAAGCTACAGAGGAGGAGCGAATCATATCAATCACGAAGTATAGTGAGCCATTTCGCACATTGCAGAGAACAAACAGGCTCGGAGAGATGGAGATGTTTCATCTCGGCTGTGAGGTTCAGGAGCAGCTCAATTCGGCCATTTCAATAGCATCTCTGCTAGACATTGTCGTTGGTCTCGTGTTCGATTTGACCGGATTCCACAGAGTTATGGCTTATCAGTTTGATGAAGATGATGCAGGCCTGGTCAGAGCAGAATACATTGACGAGAGAGCGTCTTTAGACCTTTATCGTGGGCTCAAGTTCCCGAATTCTGACATCCCAATTCAAGCTCGGCAGCTCTACCAACTCAACAAGATACGATTGCTTTATGATCGAAAGCAAAAGACAGCAAGACTCATGTCTTCAACTAAGCAACATAATCCCAAAAGTCTTAATCTTTCATCGGCGTATTTGAGGGCCATGTCACCTGTTCACATCAAATACCTGGCAAATATGGGTGTGCGAGCATCATTTTCGATCTCTTTGATTGTAGAGGGACGATTATGGGGCTTGATCTCTTGCCATGATTATGGTCTGGAAGGGAAAAGAGTCTCATTTCCAATGAGGGAGTTGTGCCGAAGTTTAGGTGATTGTACGAGTAACAACATCGAAAAACTACTCTACCTTTCCCGGATACAAGCGCGAAGACATCTCGGCAAAGCCCCTACTAAGGTCTCACCATCCCAATATGTTGCTGCTTCATCAAGAGATCTATTGCAAATGTTCGAAGCAGACTTTGGGTTCTTGGCCATTAAGGACGAGGCAAGAACAATCGGACGCTTGTTTGCCTACAATGAAAGCATTTCTTTACTTCAGTATATCCGCAGGAAGTCACATACATCCGTTTTTTATACTCAAAACATCTCCGCGGACTGCACAGATATCATGTTTCCTTCGCGCTTCGTTTTGATTTCTGGATTTCTTGTGATTCCACTAGCTTTGTCAGGATCTGACTTCTTGGTCTTCTTCCGCAAAGGACAGCTAAAAGAAGTGAAATGGGCCGGCAATCCAAACGAGAAGGTCTATAAACCCGGTACAAGTTACCTTGAACCAAGAGCAAGTTTCAAAAGATGGAGCGAACACGTGATAGGTACTAGTCGAGAATGGACTCGAGAGCAAGGTTAGTCTATTCCACTTCTAGTCAAACCATTCTAATTTGAGATTGTATAGTTGAGTCGGCAGGGGTTTTAAGCGCACTTTACGGAAGATTTATTGAAGTCTGGCGACAAAAAGAGGCTATTGTACAGCAGAATCGTATGACAAGACTTTTAATACGACAAGCGGGAGCTGAAGGTACGTAATTAAATACTTGGAGAGCTTCGAGGTTTACTAATGCCTTCATACAGTCCGAAACCCATTAAACGCTATAATTGGTTACCTTGAAATAGCGCTTGAAGAGGTTCTCGATGATAAAGCCCGTCTGCACTTGGAGAAATCTCTAGGTGCATCAAGATCTCTTATATTTGTGGTGAACGATCTTCTTAATTTGACCGAGGCAGAAGGAGAAGATCCGGAGATGTCCCATGATAATGTTGTTTTGTCAGAAATGATGGCCGATGTTATCGAAGATTTTGGTGCTGAATGCCGAAAGAAGAGGTTACATATCAAATTTGACGAGAGCCAGAATGTTCCCCCAATGGTAAAATGTGATGGCATTCGTTTAAGACAAACCATCTCGAACTTGCTGTCAAATTCTGTCAAACATTCGACGGCTGGTGATGTGGTAGTCGGATTGAAGAAGGTTGAATCTGACGAAGACAAGACTCGAGTGGAGATGTTTTTCACAGATAACGGTTCCGGATTTACGGAGTAAGTTTCTGATTCCGTTCACCCCAATGAAACTAGAAAAAATTTCATGTGGTCCAAGATGTCCGAAGAATGACATCCAATCTGCTTCCTTATAATGAAAATCTAATCCTTGTCGTTCTAGGTCTGAACTTGACGGTATATTCCAAGATTTCGAGAAAGTTCTTGACGATGATCACGACGTGGACGCATCACCGATCCTTGGCCCCGATAAGTCATCCATAGGCCTAGGTCTGGCAGTGGCAGCGAGATTTGTTAGGCTCAACGATGGTAAAATAGTCATAAATACGGAGCCAGGACACGGAACTACAGTTACTGTATCCATACCATTCCGGAACTCTGACAAAGGGCGTCCCTTCAATGCAAGAACCCCACGTGAAGACACCTCAAATCCACCAACCAGCACTGAATTTCCCACTCCTATGTCCAGGACGTCTTCCGAACATGGCGGAAGATGTGATACACCCGAAGGATTCGTTGTACCTCCTCCTACTCCACTAAAGGAACCCTTCTCCGTCTCTACCACAGAATTGCTCGAAACTCCCGAATCAATACCCAGTGCCTCGGCCTCTCAACCATCGGCCTCCGCGAAATCCGCAACCACAAATTCCGATTACCAACTTCAATATCCATTTCCCATCATGGACCTTCCCCCTCAACCCGAGATTCGCAATCTCAATGTCCTAGTCGCGGAAGATAATCCACTTAACAGTCGTCTTTTGGAAGAGCGCCTGAGGAAAAGAGGACATGTGGTAACGGTCAAGATTAATGGGCAGGCTTGTGCAGATGCTGTGAAAGCTACGCCGGATGGATTTGATATCGTTTTGATGGATATACAGGTATTCATATTCCTCACTCTTCAATTATGCATAAACCTTGAGACACCACATTTCGAAAAGATGACTAACCACCTTATAGATGCCCATAGCCAACGGATTCGAATCCACATTTATGATCCGCGCTTTCGAGAAAGAGACCAATCCGCCAGTCTCCAAGCGCGCGAGTGTTTATGGTCGTCTACCAATCATAGCTGTCTCGGCTAGTCTAGACGAACAAAAAAGAGAGGAATACATAGAGCTTGGATTTGATGGATGGATTCTCAAGCCCATAAATTTCAAAAGGTTGGAGGAGATCTTGGCGAGTGTCGAGGATGATGCGAAAAGGGAGAAGTTGTTGTATGGGAACGACAATGTGGCGTGGGGGAAGGGAGGCTGGCTCAAATTGAAGAGTATCTAATTGTTAGTGGGAAAAGAGGAGGAGAAGCGATATGATATTTGAAAATGGATACTGGGAAACAGAAGGATTCGATATTTTGATTGAGCAACAGAAGCATGGGGCAAATAGCGAAGATATCTGGGTATGAGTCGAATAGTGTACGGACAAGACCTTCTTTTCATTTTGTTTCTGGTTTCTTTCCTTGCTGTTTCGGGTAATAATTTGAGTATCGCGCGTCGCGTTGGTATAGCGATATATATATATATATATATATATAATTATTCTTAAACTCCAAGGAGATCTCAATGCTTCAATGCGGTAGTTTTGTTGTTCCATTGGAAATCTACATCAGCATATTTTCGAATCCGGATAGCTGAAGATGGTGTAATTGGCTTTTCATTCGCATCATGACTGAGAGATATTGACTTACAGTAGCGCAAAAGAACAAAAATATTGTTAAAATTTCAAATAACCACTTTTGGCGTCACAACACAATGTACAAATCTTTTGGGGGCTCACCGGGAGCTCGTTGAGGATCTCATTTGATAGGAGATGTCCACCGCCTGGACTTCAGCCAATAAAAATCCTATTTCAGGTTTCTGCCACGAAAGCGGTGATGAAAATTTGGGCTTCCGTAAAATACCCCCATCGCTCGCTCACAAGAGCAAATTAACAAACCATCGAATTCACGCCTGGTATGTTATTGTGCCTTATTGAGTGCTCAGATCTTTGAAGAAATTCCTCAAATATGCAAATTTCGAGAAACTATACTTTTCCATAACAATGTCTTCTTTCAAGGTCAGCAACTGTTCCCACAAATGCCAAACTTCCAATATGGATCTTAGCTCACCCACTTCATTTTAGCATAATCACTCGTTGAGCCCAATATTGGCATTGGAGTTTTACCGTACTTTTACTGGCACATTGTTGATTCTTGCGGCTGAAGGCCCCTTTCTGAACATATATGATGTCGAAAGCTCGAGACTGATCAGTCAATGTCGAATCTTTGACTCACAGGCCATTCACGGTATCATTATTAGAGAATTGAACAATGATGCTGGTGATAGTCTACAGGTAGTCGTTTGGGGTGGGTCATGTTTGACCTTAATTTGTAGATCGCAAATTCAGGATATCATATCTCAACATGTGATTAGTATCACAGAGACAGCGACATCCGCCAGTGATTGGGTCCTCAGTGTTGCTTTTTGTCCTTGGGACAAGGAAGGCTGTGTTATGGTCACTGCTCATAATGCAATGCTCCAGGCAACGCTGTTGGAGAAAGCAGGATCAATAATACTACGTCAATTACAACCTTCTTCACGGTCCATGTTGTATTCTGCCAGTCTCGTTTGCGAAAACCAAGATACAGTCATAGTAGCTGCAGGAACTATCTTTGGTGAGATTATAGTGTGGAAATGTGTTGCTACCGATGATAGCTCTGCATTTAGCAATGAGGCTCTTTTTGTTTTCACTGGTCATGAGGGTTCGATTTTCGGTGTTGATATATCTCCACTGATCATGGGAGATGATGGAAAGACTACTCGGTTGCTAGCAAGTTGTAGTGACGATCGTACGATCCGGATATGGAACCTTGCCGAGGGTGCACAGAATGATGTAGATGCTATGAAGCTGGCTGCCGACTTACTGCCACGAGAGACAGGTTTTGGCGAGCATGCTGAATCCCAACATGACTCTAATGGTTTCAATAGATGTGTTGCTATGACCATGGGCCATATATCTCGTATATGGGGTGTCAAATTTCACTGTCCTAATATATCAGAGTTTGGCTCTTCATCACTTACCATTCTGTCTTTCGGAGAAGATTCGACAGCTCAACAATGGGCACTAGAACTCGGGAGTGAGCTTCAGAATGGGGGCAAAACTACTGGTATTCTAGATCTTAATCTTTCCAAAATTAGTCCAAACACTCCTGCCAAACTGACGCATATCAAAACATTCGCTTTCCATACCGGGAAGCACATTTGGTCGGCAGCTGTCACTCAGATAGAAAGCAATCGGAGTCTCCTCGCCACTGGTGGAGCAGATGGAAAAATATCAACGTATTGTTTTGACGAGAGAGAAACAAATCCAGCTTTAGTAGACTCGTTAACTAATACTGCCGCTAAAGAGTATTCCGTTGAAGGTTCATTTTCTTCTGTAGCTTTTGAGCTTGAGGAGGTATTCGAATCTCTTAGCACTGCAGAAAATTGTCCTAGAACTGAGCAAAAGCAAGAATCCATGGTATCGAAGAAAAAGTCACCCAAAGATGCTTTCAATCGTTATGCCTTCGTATCTGAAGGTGCCTTTCTTATTACAACATCATTTGGGAGAATTCTCAAAGCAACAATCGAAGATCGTGTTACGTTCGAAGAACTCGCTTTGCCCGGATCGAATGCCCAGGATCTCAAGTCATACTCTATTTTGAAGGGAAGTTCAACTCTGAAACTATGCTTCTTGGGGGGTACCAATGGGAAGATATTTATTTACCAACCAGGACTACCCATCATCGAGATAGGGCACGTTGAGCGAAAGCCATCTGATATGTTTATTGTTCCCAAACAAGACAAAAAATCTGTTGACTTATTGGTCACGTTGGTAGGAACCCAAGAACTGACGATATTTTCCCTTGATATGCAAAATAAACAATCTTTCGGGTCACATTGTATTGTCAAAAGGACTCTCTCTTTGCCCCTGAAGTTTATAGTCACAGGAGCCGGTAGATCTGACGATCATCTTATAATTGGCTCTAGAGAAGGTCAAATTGTAATAGAAGACATCGATTGTGATACCTTGAGTACATGGAATTCGTCTAGTAGGAAAGATGCCATCACTTCCATCGTTGCTGTCCCAAAGTCAGAAGCTCAACAGACCACAAGCTATTTCGCAATCACCAGTCGAGATGGTTTATATGCCATCTTATCCTACAATAAGACTGAACCAGAAATTACATCGAGGATTTCATGTGTACATAGTGCTGCACCGCCGTTCGGACCTATGATTGAAGCGTGTTGGTTTCAGGGCTCTGATCTCATTCTATACGGCTTCAAAAGCAAAAGTCTCATTGTCTGGAACGAGACCAAACAATCTGAGATCATGCGCATTGACTGCGGAGGCGCACATCGAGCTCATGCATATTCTCCACATAAGGATAATAGAGGAGGTGGCAGTGGTCACTTGATATATACGAAAGCGACCCAACTATATCTTCACCACCAAAAAGTCCCCTCGCATCGCACCATCAAGCCCGGTGGCCATGGACGAGAAATCAAAGCTTGTGCCGTAGGAGGTTTTCCCCAAATGATAGCCACCGGTGCCGAAGACACCAATATAAGAATATGGCGCTACACAGACGACCAGAACCATCTTTCCTCCTCGAAGAGCCTCAACTGCCTCACTGTAATCCAAAAACACACATCAGGCATCCAGCATCTCCACTGGCACAACTCGCACTATCTCTTCAGCAGCGGCGGCGTCGAAGAATTCTACATCTGGGCCCTGCAAGAAATTCCCGGATTCGGCCTCGGAGTCCTGTGCGAAGCCTCGTGTCCCGATCCCACTGACGAACAGGATTTACGCATCATGTCGTTTGACGTTTCGGATGTTCCTGGTAGTACTTTGGCGGAAATGATAATTACGCTCGCTTATTCCGATTCTACCATGCGCACTTATGTGTATTGCAAAACACGCGGGTTTGAATTACTCGTGAAGGGTAAATATACATCGGCGTGTCTGACGCAACTTGTTCATCTGCGCGTGTCTAGAACGGAGATACATTTCTTGACTGCTGCAACGGACGGGAGTCTTTGCATCTGGGTCGCTCCTCTCACTCTTCTTACCCCTTTTACTCCACCTACTCTCCCCTCTCTACCCCCAACCCCAACCCGCAACCCCAAAACCCAAGAACCTACCCTCCTCTCCCACAAAAAAAATCATCAAAATGCTATAAAATCCCTCTCCTTCACCTTCACACACTCTCTCAAAGATTCATATCTAATCATCGTTACTGGCGGCGATGATAACGCGTTAGGTATAACTCTATACCCCATCTCCAACATCTCCAACACCATCAATACCGATGAAACCTCTGAAGTACTTCCCGAATTTCAATTTCAATTTCAAACTCCGACTACGATATTATTGCCCGATGCTCATGCTGCGGCTGTTACGGGGGCGGATTTTGTTTCGGGTTTTAAAGATGGAGTTAGAGATCAAGATGGAGATCAAGATGGAGATCAAGATGCAAATGCAAATGTAAATGAGGATAAATACATAATATCCACAAGCACAGATCAAAGAGTCAAAACGTGGCGGATAAGGATAAGAGTTCCCAGGCTTGGAGCAAAGGGAGGAGGAAGAGGAAGAGAAGATGCACCGGTGTGTCCAGTGGATATTGAAATGGTTGGGGATGAATTTACGGCGGTTAGTGATATTGGGGATGTGGGGATTGTTTCTGGAAGAAGAAGAAGTGGTGATGGTGAGATAGATGGGCGTGAGACGAAGGTGGTTATTGTTGGGAATGGGATTGAGGTTTGGGGGGTGGGGGTGGGAGGTAGAGGGGATTAAAGTGAAGTGGTGGATTCATCCCGGCCATGTATTCAATAAAAAGATGAATGAGTAACAAAGTCTTACTTGAAAAGTCATTAAATCATTATTCTAAATTTCCACTAATTAGTCATCATTCCCCTCTTCCTCCACGCCTTGACTTCTTTCAGCACGCCCATGACCAGTGGTACACCCACCGGTCCCAACAACGGCAAATAAACCGCCACTTTATGTTCATCCGGGAAATACACCTGTCCCACCATACTTTTCTCAAAAAATGCCTTCTCGGCCGCCTCTTCCGCAATGCGTGCATTTTCCAATCCTTCTTTTCCTCCTAAGCCATCACATGCCTTTCTCAAATGTTCAATCGTCGTGTAGACACCGTCTTGCACCGATTCCGGTATACTAATTGACGGAAGCGCTTTGCTCAAGCGCGCTAGGCTTCCTAATGTACCGCTTGCTTTTAGCAAAAGTCCCGCGCTACGGACGCGCACTAGTGTCATTAAGCGGAGGGGAAGTGACCCGGTTTCGGGAGCGCCCATTAGAGACATTAATTGAGTGGAGAAAGTGAGCATGGCGGGGCGTAAATCGGAGATGTCGGATTGGATTACGACGCCTCCCCATTGGGGGATTAGCCAGCTTTTGCCGCCGCCTTCTACCTCCATGTCGCCTACGTAGAGAATGAAGTTTATAGTGGGGGCGCCGCCGATACTGGGACTTAGGGGCCATTCCGCGGCATTGATGAATCCGCTCAGATCTTCTTTTCGTAAGACGTCTCCGCTGACGCCTGGTGTGGCGTATAGCTGGACTTGGGTATCGATTGTGAAATTGTTGATTGCAGTGAAGCTTTCAAGTAATGGTTCCATATGTTCTTCTAATGCAGCCTCGATGTCCCAAGAAGACGGAGTGGCGGTTGGGGTAAAAAGAGAGAAGGTTAAGTGATACGTTCCGGAATATCTCAATGATCGTGTTGTCCATTTGACCAAGGTATCCGCCACTTCTGGCGCCAACGCCTTTGGACTTCTTTCTGGTGGGGCGGAACTGGTTGAGAGTAAATATGCAATCATAGCTTGCTCTTCGGCAAACACGCCCCTTAATGTATTCGCAATATAGGTCGCCAATGAAGATGATGAGGATGAGCTCGAAGGGATCTGATTCGGGGTATAATATATATCTAAAATAGGTGCATATGCTTGCAAGTTGGATTGTGATGCTGTTCCAGGTAAAAGTCTAATAGTCAAAGCAACCTCATCTCCCATGCCTCCAGTAGAGAACCCATTCGCAGTCGCAGAAGCATTGACGGGCGGGGAAAGTTGTAATCGTAGATGATGTGCTGAGAAATCATTTAAATCATCTAGAGCATGTTGTGTAGTTCGTAAGAGGTTTTGAGCTTCAATCTCTTGTAATGATTCAGCTTCTATTGAAATTGTAAGTGGAAAGACTGGTCGGCATGACTATTGGATAATCGATCAGTAAATGTCATTCTATATAAATGATTTCAACATACTCTTCCTTCAGCCCAATCCGTCATTTGATCTAAAGGTAATGGTGCTCTGTAGATCGTAGTTGTTTTCCACCATATTGGCAAACCAAACAATAAAACGATAGCCCAGAATGAAAGAATAACTTGTGCTCGCATACGAATGCTTTCTGGTTTCTCAGTAGGTGGTTCCTTGCTTTTCTTTACTGCTGTCACCGCATTGTCGGGCGCAACATGATTGAGATCCTTCACATCTCCGTCTATTATTTCGATCGGTCCTGAGGATGCAGGCTCATTTGTTGATGTTGACATTATGTTGAAGTTTAGTATGTTAATATGTTAATATGAGTATGGCCTCGTCGCAATTAGTTACAAGTTGCGACGGAGAAAGGGTTTAGCGATAAGAAGGCTGAAGTGGCAAGGCTGGAATTGACAAGGCTGTTGAAACCCGCCGCTTGTCAAGTTCCAACTAACTAGTTTCAATCAACCACTTTAGGCAAGATCCGAAGATCCAGTTATTATATTCTCCACTATATGTCACCCATAAATAAATACTAGTGGATATATTTGCTATAAAAGTGTGGAAACTTGAAAGCCGTTTAATTCGTAAAATTTATCGGGTCCGACTTATCCAATCACACATATAACTCTCTTCCCTGTATTCATCCCTTCAATCATCAATGTCGCACGAGACCGACTTGTACCCATACTTTGGGATCAAGAGAACGGAGAAGATGTCTACTTGTGGCCTTTCACGAATTGCATAAGTCGATTTTATCTTCTGTGATTGGCAGCCCGGAACTTGGAAGAGAGAGGGCTGGGTTATCCTCAATGGACGCCGGACGCACATTGAACTCTTGGGAAGGAGAGAACAAGTCGGAAATAGAACCTCTTTCGCATCATCTGCATCTGTAGCATAGATTACAACGCCTCAGAACGGCATACAGAATGATCATATGGCTGCATAGGCTGCGAGGGACCCAAAGTTCCTCCGTGCCGAGGCATATATTAGTTACACTGCAATTTGTGGGATGCGAAAAAAAGGACCTAACGGCGAGATACTCGCCATTACCCAGACCTCAACCAGGTGATGTACGGTGAGTTCCTGAATATACTTGAGTAGTCTTCCTCAACTATCTGTTGTTGCTTTTCTTCGTCTGAACTACTTTGATCACCCCTGTATCTACCCTTGGATTAATGAGACTGGATTTACATCAACTAGACATCGATCCTCCTTGTTTGCTGAATCCATTCTTACAGCTTTGGCCGTTTCATCCTATATTAGAAGTACGACCCGTCCTTCAAGTCTAGCGGCTGAGAGATACTATTCAACTTTTTTGATACCTTGTTTCTGCGGAGCTCTTGAAGTGTTCATCTCAGATTCTCATAGCTGAATATCTTCTTACTACCTTATTATCAAAATGCCAGGTCAGCTCTTTTCACTCCGTTTCGAAAGAGGAATGCAGTTAATGACAATTTCACAGTCCCATTGGCTTTAGCAGCTCCAGTAGCATTGGCTGGGCTGGCATACTTCAATGCGAAGCTTTCTCTGAGCTACGATTATCAGTTATTGGGTGCTGCAATAAAATCATACGCCTTTACTAATCGAAGGGAAAAAGAAGATCGTCTGAATATGTGGTACATCCTCGAAGAACATGCCCAAGGAAATTTCGCAAACGATACATTCATAATATTTGAAGGCAAGAAATGGACATTTAAGGAAACATATGATATGGTTCTGAAATATGGAACATGGTTAAAGAATACGCACAACATCAAGCCAGATGAAATTGTTGCCATGGATTTCACCAACTCGGATAAATTTTTCTTCTTGTGGTTTGGATTATGGAGTATAGGCGCCAAACCAGCTTTCATCAATTACAATCTAACGGGGAAAGCGTTGTCACATTGTGTCAAAGTCTCCACTGCGAGACTATGTATTGTCGATCCAACAGTTGAAGAGAAACTCACTCAGGAAGTTCGAGATGAACTTCCTGATATCTCATTCCAATTTCTCACTCCTGACATAGAAGCTACTATCAATTCCACAGAAGGTGTTCGAGAGCCTGATTCTACAAGACATCAACAAACAAAATCAATGATCGGAATGCTGATATACACCAGTGGGACTACAGGTTTTCCCAAACCTGCAGTTCTTGCCTGGGGAAAGGCAAATTTTGGATCGACTATCATGCCGATATGGAGCGGATATCGTCGACCTGATGTGCTATATACTGTGGGCTCGCCTCTTCTGTTTGTGTTTCATAATACTAATTTTTTTAGTGTATGCCTATGTATCATACCGCCGCTAGTGTCCTTGCTGTATTGGCAACTCTGAACATGGGCGCAACAATCTGCATTGGCAGAAAATTCTCCACCAAAACATTCTGGAAAGAAGTTCGAGAATCAAAAGCAAACATTATTCAATATGTTGGCGAAGTTTGTCGCTATCTCCTATCCGCACCCTCTCAATACGACCCTGTGACAGGCGAGAATCTCGACAAAAAGAACGACGTCAGAATGGCGTTTGGCAATGGCTTGAGGCCTGATGTCTGGAACAAGTTCAAAGAACGATTTGGAATCCAAACCATCGCCGAATTCTACTCAGCAACCGAAGGTGCCGGCGCTGGCTGGAATTATTCAAACAATGAATTCAGCAAGGGCGCTGTGGGTCGGAATGGATTTATCTACTGGCTCGTATTAAGAAAGAAATGGGGAGTTGTTGAATTGGATGTTGAAACGGAGCAGCCGTACCGCTCGAAAACTACAGGATTCTGCACGAAAGTGCCATATGGAAATCCAGGAGAGATGCTGTACAAGCTTGATCCTGCCGATATAACTTCGGGCTACCAAGGATATTTCAATAATCAAAATGCTTCTGATAGCAAAGTTCTAAGGAGTGTTTTCGAAAAGGATGATGCATGGTTTCGAACGGGCGATGTTATGACGTGGGACAACGAGGGCAGAGTCTATTTTAATGATCGAATTGGTGATACATTCCGCTGGAAATCCGAAAACGTATCAACAAACGAAGTCGCAGAGGCTTTATCCACCCATCCAGCAGTACAAGAGGCAAATGTATATGGAGTTTCTCTTCCTCATCATGATGGGCGAGCGGGCTGCGTAGCCCTTATTTTGAAGGATCAAAGGCCAGAACTCATGAAAGAATTAGCGATTCATGTGAAAAGAAGATTGCCGAGTTACGCGGTACCGGTATTTTTGAGGGTGAAGAAAGAAGGCGAGGAAATGGCGATTACGGGGACGATCAAGATGGTCAAACATGTTATTAGGAAACAGGGGGTTGATCCGAGGGAAATCGAGGAGAGTGGGGATCAGATGTGGTGGTTGAGAGGAGATGAGTACGTGAAGTTTGGGGAGAAGGAGTGGAATGAACTGAATGGAGGGAAGGTTAAATTATAGGAGTTGTAATTGAGCTTGTGATATTGCGTTTATGTGTCGACACTTGAAGCGGTTGTAATTAGGCGTTCTGCGTAAGGAATATCTTGGTGTTTGGCGAGAGCTCAAGGAGCTAGTTAATCTTCATCTTCATTGGCGAGCATGAATCAACAAATTGCACAAGTTTCTGAACAATAATTTTGGTTTATTAGATTTTTAATTATACATAAGTAACTAATCAAACAACAAAAGAAAAGACATCCAGATCCCTCCTTTTCCTTCCTTTTTCTTTCCATAAATCCCATCATCATCATAATGATCATCATTACCACATCTCCCAACCCTCACATATCTAACTATATCTCAAAGACGCAACCCTCCAATAAATTACATCCCCAACATCCGATTAGGTCTCGCCCATCTCCTCACAGACGGCTCATAATGCATATTTCCATAAACATCGCGACGGTTCCCAGGGAAACTCTGGAGCAGAGGTTGAACGGCTGTAATGATAAATACTTGAGAGATGACGACGACGAATGTAAGGCAGAGATTGAGAACGAGGAAGATGGAGGGGAAGAAGGCGAGGGTTAAGAGGGTGAGGAGGATGGAGAGGAAGAGGGGTGTCATGGTGCATGCGTGGGTGGTTGGGATGGTTGGTTACTAAAGGGTTTAGGAAATTTGTGTGGGGATTGGTTCGGGTTTTGGCTTGGTGTAGTATAACAGGCCGGCTGAAAGTTGATTTGGATATGGATATGGATAGAATATATTGTTATATCAGAGAATTTCTTGAGGATTCTGAAAAGATGGTCAGGGTGGTAGTCGAGGGCTTTTTATAAGAAGTTCGTGCGGAAGCGAGGACAAAGGGGGAATATATCTTTCTTTATTGGGTATGAATGCCCATTGTGCAATTTTTCTATGGTGTGCTATTCTTGGTTCGAGGGTGTTTGTTGGTATTTGTTTTTGTTTATTGTTATTTTAAGGCTTTGTTTGTATGAATGGAAATGAGAGAATGGTCAAAGGGAAGTGATAGTTTTCTTTTGTGAGACCTATCGCTTTGTAATTTCCTTGTCGATATCTGTGCCTGTAAAAGGGGTTTTGGGCTGTCAATCTACAGGATTCAGTCTTCAAAGCTCATCCACGATATTTTAGTTGCTCCTTTTAGCTCCACCATGGTCATCTTGTGGACTATCTTGTAGATCACCGTTACCGTCAGAAGTCTGATTGAGGATAAATTGGCAGGCTAAAGTGGCGGCGACACCTAGCCCAAATATAAAATTCGGGCCATAACTTTGTTCATGCTAAATTGAGAGACATTATAAAAGTCGGCAATAGAAATGGAAATGGAAAACAGGAAATTGAATTGGCTGGAGGGAAAAGTCACACATAAATAAGAGTATAAGCAAGATAGGTTTGTATGATAGGAAGAGATGTTGTTTTTATTGAGGACTTAATCTACTTGGATTCTTTGGGAGTAGACTTCCAGATTTCTACACCTTTGTTCGTTCAAAGTATCTGTTCTCCACGAAAGTCTTAGAGGAATTTGTAGATTTATAGGGAACTGTCAGAAAGAGATATTTCACTGCCATCGCCACTTTAGTCTCTCAAACATGCCTGATTATACCTGCACTTTGGCCATAAAATAGAAATATGAAGACTGCCCTTCCAAACATACGTTCCCTTCCTAAGCGTTCAGAACAGACGACCAACCTTCACTCCTAATGTATTCCTCCATCGACGTAACCGGAATCTTGAATGCAAGCTAAAAATCATCAGTAATAGAACCCCTAACCAAACATCACAAAACTCACCTGTTCCGGTCTCAAAACATCCGGATCTCCACCCGTATGACCAAACTCATCCGCATAATCCCAAGCATCCTGAAGTTCCCTCATTTCCTCCGGCACACCTTCCCAGAACACCTCTTCAGATACGTGTTTAAATTCCGCTTGAACCCCTAGAGTAGCCCCCCAAACCTTCGTCCACTCCGCCCATGTCATCCTTTGCGAGACACCTATGAGATTTGTTCCAGCTGGCATATCAAGCAATGCTTTCACATACACCCCTGTATCACGATGCGCAACCATAAACTCATTCACGCTATCAGGCCTCAGCGGTCTCATAACCAAGAAACTCCCATCGGGTTGTTTCTGCGGTGCCATCGATGGAAAGGCCTTCCAATTCGTAACGTAATGTCCCACCTGCAGCGTACTCATCTTTGCGGCCAACTCCGGGAATCGAGATTGTGTGAGCCGTATGGTTTCGGCTTTGGAATCAAAATGATATACCGTGGTGTATTTGCCCTTACTCCACTTCGTTGCATCGCTCAATGACGAGTATATAAATCGTTCTAGGGTTTGGAGAATCGTTGGAGAAGCAGCTGCTTCTGCAATGTTGATCCCTTGAGCCACTTCGCGATCAAATGCATATTCGTGAACTGTGCGTCCAGGTGGCGCGCCTTTGGATATTGCCGTAAAGAGATGCACGAAAAAACCCGTATTGGAATAAATCACAGCAGCGCCTTCGAAGGCTAGAAGAAGTGAGTTTCTGTCGTCAAAGTCGGCTTGCACGACCTCGACTCCTTTTGCTGATAATGCTTGCGCAGCTGCACTTGATGGATTTCATGTGATGCCTCGAACTCGCCATTCTGGTAAGCTTAGAAATGTCTTCGCGACTGACGACCCCTATATGTATTTAGTATTCGCACATCTGAAATCATTTGATACATGGGAATATTTACTTGGGTGCCAGTAACGCTGGTTATGACAATTAGTTTTGACATATTGTGCTACTTGTGTTATTTTCCCTGTAAAAGTATGCTGAACAAAAATAACAAGCGTATCACACAAGCAGAACTTCAGATATCATAAGCTTTATAGATACAAGTATTCCTTACATTCGTACATCCGATTCCTTTATTTACTAGGTTCGGACAGGAGCATTGCCCGTCCTCCATACATTCCAATCGTTGCTTTTAATGTCTCAAGTCTCAATCACTGCATATAAGACATTCCGGGACTTGAGCATTGCCCGTAGTCCATACATTTTCCGGTGTCTCAATAACTGCTTCACGTATCTGGGAATACTGAATATTTCGATGCAGAATAACTTCCACTTGATTCGTTGGTAATGCAGTCAATTCGGCATGTTTGAGAGTATTGTTTTCCGGGTTACCAATTGACATCGTCTATTAAAAACAAGCTCCTTAAACAATGTAATTCGTTCAATCATAACTCCGATCTAATACTACCTTCATCTTGAGAACAGCTTGGAGACGATTCGACCTAATTAATGGAGCATCGCTGCTTTCGGGGGCAACGACTGGTCTCTTGATCTTCCCCGGTGCTGGTTTTCCCTTGCCTTTTCCTCCATTCCCTACTGGCGACCGTTCAGCATGTGCGGCAGGGTTGTGAATACCATCTGGTGAGCTATTTCCAGCAGCAGTACTTGGGCCATCCTCCGATGCCTCGGCAGCACCCCGTTTCTTCCCCTTCTTCATACGAGCTGCAGATGATTTGCCACGGCGTTTTGCTGGTGGGTTTACAATATCTGCTAAGCTTCGACCATCACTTCCTTCGGTTCTCCCTACATGATGTCCGGGTGAGTTGCGTACAATGTCCGCTATACTCGGACCATCTGGGCCACGATCTTGGACATTGCGACCCTCTGAACCGCGCTCTCGTCTACGGCGCATCTGGATTGCACCATCTCCCCCTCTCGGTCTACGTAATCGATGCCATACGATGAAAGCTACCACACCTCCAATCACAGTAAAAACAATAACTATGACAGCAATGATCAAACTTTCCTGACCCATATTGATGGCAATCAAGGATTCTCCAACCTACTCTGGCTTCCAGGTTGTATATAACACTCGGCTAACAAGAGGAAAGGTGCCGGGAAATCATTTTCTCCAACAAAGGGGGGTTCTAAAACCCCTAATGGAACAATGTGAACCACGCCCTTTGTTCTATCAAAAAATAGTTTCCTTAGCTAGGTCGGATCTACTGTATAACAACCAATAGATGTACTCATGTTGGAACTCCTCATAATTAGATCAGGTACAAGCCGAAGTAGCCGAAGATTGGAATTTGAAAACAAAGAGCTTCGTCGTTCAAAGACATGAAGAAGAAAACAGCCTATGCCTTTCAATGGCCAATGGGTAATTATGCCTTGCAAGTCAAGTGCACTATGAACTATCCACTAGCCATTAACCATTTTTTGTATTGAATATCGTAGCTTGATGTTCAACAAGACTAGGCAATACTTTCTTGATCTTCTTCGTTGCTACTCTTCTCGAAATCATCGTCGTCGAATTGCCGTTGCTTTGATTAAACGCAAACAGCAACCTGCTCGGCATGCCTCCGCCTTCGAGAAGAAATACCTCATGTTTGCTTGACGCGGCAACAGGCATATAAACCTCCGAGTTCAATATAAGGTATGCAAGACCCACACATATCGCGTTGCCATGCGCTTGAGACGTGTTGTCGTCCCGGCACATATGGGACTGCAATTATTGATTCCATCTCTTGAGATACAAAAATATACAGCGGATGTTGGCAAGGTGATCGTGTAGCACAGTATGCTTTGGAACCAATCCTCGCCGGTTATTTTCGGCGTGAACTCCCTCGTGCATTTCTCCGAAAGGGTGAAGACTGCATGTAATGTTGACAGTAAACCTCCGAAAGTCAGTATCAGACGTTTCGATACTACCTAGTATCAAAAAGTCCCTAGATAGAAGAGCGAGCACATTGTGTTAGACTGCTGGGAATACCTCGTAGGTACCCGCCTCTAGATCATCTTGAAATCATACGATATGCCTGATCTGGTAGAGATGTAGTTTTCCGCCTCATATTGGTAGTGCTCGAGCGATAAGTCAAACTTTACTATCCTCACTGCTCCTCGCCGGCCAGTCATTGTGTTTCGATCGTCGCTGTAGGCAAGGTTTTGACACCAAAGACAAAGTCAAGAATTCTTTGATCGACCTCTCGACCTCTCGACCCCTCAATGATCAGATGTGTCTCAAAGAACTCATTGAATGCCGGTAATTTCATTGTAGTAGATCATGGTAAAATGATGGATCATGTAACTTGAGGCAACTTGACATTGGATGTATAAAAAAAGAATTAAGGTGGGATCGGGGCATGCCGGTAATGTCACATTAGCGACGGAGCCTATAAAATAGGCATTTTAGTGAGGCTGAAGGCAGGAATGTGGGGAAAAGGGAAAAGGGAAACGCCTGGAACAACAAAAGCAGCCACTAGAATGATCATCCCGATAGATCATCCCGATAACATACCCATGACATGACATTCGCAATATGAAGAATACAAAACTTATTGGGAATTGTGTACCTTCACATTGATGCAAGTGCAATTCCTGTATTCGGGATTGACCTATAAAGCACCGCTCAAAGAATAAACAATGTGGTATACAAAGGTCGAGAAGATCTTGATTTTAACATCAATTCCTTAACTTCACCACTTCAACTCTCTGCAATGTCTTTGGTCCCATATTCATCTCGAGACAGTCGGGAGATCGTGCTGTAGGTTTTACTTTATCATTTCTTCGGCGCAAAACATATCGGGAGGTCAGAAGTTAGCAGATATATACTGACGTTTAGTTTAACAGTCGCCATGATGATGCGATCGTTATACGAGACCCCAATACTCAACAATTGGCTTTGCGAAGTGCCCCTCCCAGTCTTGCCTTGAACGACTGTCCGACATGCCATCGACCATTGCGAGCACCATCTCCCGAACGACAACCTACTCCTTCTGCTCGAGCAAATGCTTTCATAGCCCCAGAGTACTTTCGCATGCTGCATGCTGCAAGTGGTGGTTCGAATGAACAACCTCCTTCTAGTCCGATTCGCAGGCTCGTACAGCCTACTTCACCGTCTGCGAATTATGTGGATGATGCAGAAGATAACGTGGAATTTGTGACGAGTAGCCCAGCAGTAAATACAGGTCATTCCATAAAGAAGGAAGCGTTTAGCCCGAACTATTTCCAGAGATTCTTCACCGAGGAGAGGGAGTTGGGTCGTGGGGGGAAGGGAGTAGTTCTTTTAGTCCGCCACGAGCTCGATGGGGTTTCCCTAGGTATGGCAGGCAGGTTCCAAAGATATGGGACCAGGTACTAATGGAACGCAGGGCAGTTTGCTTGCAAGAGAGTACCCGTGGGAAATAATCATGCATGGCTAGAGAAAGGTGCAGCAACCCCGTCCATGCGAGGCACACACACTAACTCATATAGTCCTTATTGAGGTCCAGCTTTTGCAAGGACTTTCTCATCCAAATCTCGTATCTTACCGACATGTTTGGCTGGAAGATGTCCAATTGAATCGATTCAGTCCCTCAGTACCTTGCGCTTACATCCTTCAGCAATATTGCAATTCGGGAGATCTTCTACGTTATATTGCCGGGCCTGCACCTAAATTGCAAGCCACAAAAGAACATTTGAAGGAGCAGATGCGAAGAAGGTCGAGAGGTGGTGCAGATCGGCCAGATCTGAGATCGTCTCAACGCAAATTACAGTTCGAGGAAATCTACTCGTTCTTTAAGGACATCACCTCTGGTCTTGCACATCTCCACGCCTCCAATTACATTCATCGAGACCTAAAACCAAGTAATTGCTTGCTCCATCAGGATGGAAGTGATATGCGATGCCTCATAAGTGATTTTGGAGAAGTTCAAGCAGAAAATGTTGTAAGGAAGTCAACTGGATCTACAGGAACCATATCATATTGTGCTCCCGAGGTCCTGAAACAGGATCAGTTTGGTCGTTATGGAAATTTCACCACAAAATCTGACATCTTCAGTTTGGGTATGATATTGTACTTTATGTGTTTCCGACGACTCCCTTACAAGAGTGCAGATAGCTTCGAGGAAGACTTCGAGGACATGGATCTACTTCGGGCGGAAATTAGTACTTGGTCGGGGTTTCAAGATGAGCGGCGGGAGCGGCCAGAACTACCAAACCAGCTATATAACTTTCTCAAAAGACTGCTCGCCGTCAATCCTAACGATAGGCCAAGTGCAAACGAAATTCTAGAAGCAATCCAAACGGAAAGAGGTCTACAGAATCCAGCGCGAGTACGACATGGTAGTGCATCAGGGATTCGTGGACGGATTCAGGCCATCGACTCACCCATGCCATCCGAAACACCAGTCAACGAACGCGAGCCGAAGCGTGTGAGCTCAAGAGCATATATCGAAGATCATTCATCCGAGACCTCGTCTCGTTCATCCTCACCCACACCAACATCCCACTTTGCTGTCGAAATCAGTCGACATCGCACTTCCGGTTCTATGTCAAAACCACTCATCACTACCCCGCTTTTGATGCCACCACCCACCACATTCATGTCTTCCGTCGTGAATCGCATATCCCTCTACGGTCATTACAGCGAAACATGGACTCATCACAACGAGCAATCTCTTAATCTACTAGCTAGAACATCAGTCTTTCTTTTCAAAGTTTTCATGATTACCAAACCATGTCTATCTTCGCTTGCACGACGATGGATATGGTATCCGCTTGTGATTATAGCCGCCGTTGAACTGGGTCTCGGGACAAGAATAAGCTGGGGCATATCCGGCGGTCTGTTGGCATTTCATTTTCTGGCGGTAGAGGTATTTGATTGGTTTGGGCCAGGCATGTGTAATGGAAGACTTGGGGAGCATGAGAATTGGCATCAAAACGGTTTCTAAAAAGAAACTCTTTTTTAATGAGATACGTGGTATGAAAGGATTATTCACAGGCGAGTGAAACATGTGTTTGCAATTTGAGGTGTAGGATCTGGACACACCTGCAAGACATGGCGTTTGCATTCATGGATCGGATGGGGCATGAGATAATGGGTATGTATGAGAAATGGGACAAGGAAAAATAATGGCATAGCATATCATGATGGCTTTTGATGGCTAAAAATAGTACATATTTGAACAATACCCACCGAGGGAACACTTTAGACTCTTTTTTTTTCGTGGCTCAAGTGGGTGTTACTAATCAAAATATAAACCAGACCAGCAGGTCATTCAGTTTTTTTGTACGATCACATTTGAATGCAGCGCAAGTGCCCATTATCAGGGTGTAGGCCATCTTACCTATTGATAAATCTTTTCTTACAAGCTTCATCTCTGGCATCACAAGCCAGGCATTGATAGATACTTTTGGGGGAGTGTTTTTATGTTTTTTGTTTGTGTGAGATTCGTAAACTGGTATCTTGGAGATGATCATCACAGTTTTGTCTGGGTCTGTGGTGGAGACTCATTTATTTTCGTCTAATTTAAGTAGAGGACAGGAGCTACTTGATACTTGCACGGATAGTGGATTGAAAACATATCGTCTGAACAAGTTATGAGGGAAGTCAATGATTACCGATACCTTGTCTGACAATCATGAATATAACAAAACTATTCAGATGACTTGGCAGAGCGAAATTATTCACCTCGTCCGTTAATTCGGCTGATCATTCAATTGGCCTCCAGGTGATCAAGAGAATTGCCTAATTAATTATGTGGAATGCTTTGTTCAGGTGAAATGTTGGGTTAGTTGATGAGGTCGAAAAGGGGGTTTCCGAGTTACGCGAGATTGTGAGAAAGCTTATCTTTAATGTTCCTCCTGCAACCGATTTGATTCATAGTATCATTAATGGTGTAGGTTCTGGAGATTGAGAGCAGATAGTTGTGGTGTCGCGATAGCATCGACTGCTCGAAAGGATGAGAATTTATGCCTGAAAATACTATTGGTATCGAAGTACGAACTACTATCCGAGATTAGCCTTTTCAACACAATTTCTTTTCAACTGAGATTTTTACGTGACGTCGTTTGTCTATTTTTATGCATACAATCGGCCGCTAGTGTGCATTAACCGCATAATCAAGGCCTTAGTTGCCTAAGGCTGCAAAGTCTTGATTGCCGCCGTGTATGGGATCTGGAAGATCCGCGGCGCCTTCCTCTCTTCCTCGCTAATTGATGTTATTTAGTATAGTGATAGAAAAATATGTATAAGGCTCGCGCGCTGGGCTCCATTTCAGACTTTAGGGTTACCATCAGTCTACGAGATGTCCCGTTCAAAAGATCATCCTGTCATGAGGCACGGTCAGGCACTGCTCATTCGAGTACGAAATGGTTGCTCGATGAGTTTCACATCAGAAACAGAAACGGAAATAGTACGAAAACAATTCCAAAACAATTCCAAGATATCCATCATATAATGACCACTCTACATCTCCATGCTCCCCCTTCTCTCCTCTTCACCAGTACTAGTGACATCTTTGGACGTCTACAAACCCTTAAAAATGTCACAACAAGATAACCTACAGCAAACACAACCTCCAGACATGGATTGGCACGACACACTCGTTTTCTGGATAGACAGAATCCACACAAGGATCACGAGGTATCTTTTTGATGCCATCGGATATAGAGTATATCTCGGCAACGATATCCTAGAACTAGTTCTCGAGACCATCATCCTCATTTCTCTACTCTCCATCCTTGCTTTCCTCTTCATCTTTATTTTTCTCGTTGTCTTTCTCTTCTGTTTCGTTTTCGAGATACTACCCGCCCGAATCAAGATGCTAGCCGTCCGCACCATTCTTTATGCTACTGTTTGGTGAGAAGTTTTCATGCTGGCGGGGTTGGCTTTGATGTTACGGTTTGGACCGGCTTGGGTGAGGTTTACGAGGGCTATGATGGGGATGAGAGTTCATGATTAGTGGGTAGGTAGGTAAGGAAGCATAGTGTTGGTTATTGACAGATATCATGGACTAGACTATTGACCGATCGTTTATTCTTTCCTTGATTTCGTAGGAACCTAGTACAGTAATATCAAATATATTTTATCAAAAAAACCCCATGATTTTTTATCGCTGTGATCTCGTGAACTAACTTAATAGACATGCGATTCTAAAACAATGATTACAACAAATACCGTAATTGTCCAGAGATGTTCGATAGCTAAGGAGGAAACTGTTATAAACAGAAGAACAGCTCCTGAACAGCTCCTGAACAGCTATATCCCGCATCATCTATACATGCGCATCCATCCATCCATCTTCGACACACGCCACCCTCTACAACCTTCCCACTCCTGTGTATCTCAGATACCAGTGAGCAACCATCTACAACACCTATCACACATATACACAAGCAAAAGATCCCACAAAGTCAAACACCACACACAACCTTACAATGACAATGTTGTGGCACGACCAATTGATGTTTTGTTTGGCCCTCATCCTCATCATCTGTTTCATCATCTGGTTTATCATCGGCTTCATCTTTGCTCCGGGAATCCTTTGTTGCATCATTATTTTCATCGTTCTTTTCAACAATTGGTCTCAACCTGGGTTGAGAATCACGAGGTTCTATGCGAGAATGACTCGTGAAGGGCGGGGGGATGAGTGGATTTGTTGAATTTTGAGCTAGGAGCAAATGAGATGGTCATTGCTCTGGTTGAAGTCCAAGAACTGGGTTAAAATGAAACTTTGTTGTGACCTTGATTTCACTCGTTTTTTAGAATAATAGAAACAATTTTTTATACATGCTACTGATTTTACTTGATAAAAGTGACTGTGACTAATTCGCTGATTCCAACTGCCCCAAAATTAACTCCCGAACAACCTCAGAATAAACCTATTTTTGTACATACCACCGATTATACTTGACATAAGCGAATCAATTCTCTGATTGCAATAGCCCCAAAACAACTCCCGAATAACCTCTATACATACCTATAGCCTGCTTTAGGACAAGTATAAAAAGCAGAACAACCCCCTACTAGATATGTTCTTCTTCTCCCCTCAATCATCTGACAGTAACACACATCTTCCATCTTCCAACTCCTAAAAGAACCACGTAAGATAATACCATCAGAAACCCCAACCTAACACAACACACTACATACAAAACCCCTCAGGAAACATGTCTCAGATACTACGAATCCTACTCTGGTCCATATCTCTCCTCTTCTGCGTATGTTTTTCCAGCATCCTATTCATCATCGGCATCCCACTCGTGTTCATATTCTCCATCATTTATGGTCTGAAAGCCGTTTTGGAAGCTATTTTCAAAGCGACTATTGGCCCATGGGTCGAGAGACAAGTTCGTGAGAATGATGACTTCATTTTGGAGAGGGTAATTGCGGAGAGGAGGCCCCCCGGAGCGGAGGCTACGATGTCAGAATAGCGATCTTAGAGAGGACAAGTGGATATGGATATGGATATGGATATGAGGGATCATTTGATAGGGGTTAAGGGTTATTGACAACCGCCAGTTTTGGTACTATGGTAAATGTCGATTCACAGGACTACTTGGTGAGTGATTCTTTTCATTTGGTTATCGTTGTTGCTGTGATGGTAGCAAAGCAGCCGTGTGGCAGTATTTCGCCCAAAAGGAGGACGGGAAATAATTAAATATACTTTTGAAAACTTCAAATTTAATCTGATATTATGAATGATAATGTGAAAACTGTGAAAACTGTGAAAATGTACCACTGACCACTCGATAAAGTGGAATGAAGATATCACCGTTGCAAAGAAGCCACTCGACCCGACTTCGATTTGAAGTGTACTGAAATAACTCTCAGTTAAACAAACAAAATTCGTAGCTGTATGGGAACAACCGCTTTCCCGACTATGAGCCAGGCGGCTGGTCCATGAGAACAAACTATGAAGTATTTGATGATATTTCGAGTTGGAAGGAAGGTGCAGAGAATGCGAACAGACTGCTAGCTAGGTAGTCATTACTGCCATATCGCTAGAAGCGCAGAGAATAATAGGTCAAGGTAAGTTGGGTTGGAGTAGTGTATCGCGATTTACTATTGATTCATTATTATATCATAATAAATCGGATTTATTATTCACTCATCATTCAACACTTTCACGCATGATGGATCAATATGATTGATATGCTTATTTTCGGGAGGCACAGGTAACAAGGTAGGTTGAAGATAGTAGCAGACAGAACTCTAGCTTCCGAAGAAAACGCTTTGCTGAGTGGAGCTCTGCGTGTATAGCGGAGAGGTCTTACTGTACTTTACTGCTTATTAACCACCGTCTCCACTTGGTCATTTTGATTCACTTGAATATGTAAAAGCACACTCCAAAATAGTGATAGTATCTCACTGCGGTATGTATGGCAATCATCTTGCAAGACTTGAGGTCAGTGTGAATATTCATCGGTTCACATTTGATATAAGTAGCTTCTTGACTTATGAAGATAACTTTATTGTAGTTCTATTATTAATCTGATATTTAACAAGCGTTACCTGTATATTAGAACGAACAGTGCCAGAACAAGCAAGGGGTGGAATCATGGATTGGTCACGTTTTAATTCACAGGTCGAAATGAAAATGAAGGGGAATTAGTGCAAAGTTTTGGTTAAATGTCCTGTATTTTTATAAACGAATGCTTGTCGTGTTGGACTGAGAAATAGGCTTAAAAGTTTGCAGGATGTCGTCCCAGAATCCCGGTAGGTTATGCCGGAGCACAATCTACACCCAATCTGAGGCGTCCTTCTCCGAGTCGTACTTGGGCATCGGTCTCGTCTTTCCAATCCTCGGTTGATGATTCTCACCATCGCCATTCCCCGGCTGACTATTCTCACCCTCGCCCCAATGCTTCGGATGCATTTCGACATTGTGGTGCGACCGGCCAGCGGTACGCGAACGTTTTTTTGCAGCCTTTTTCGAATGATCCATTCCATATCTGTGGTATTTGTGAGGCCAAAAGAAAGCCCATGCGACCATGGCGAAAAGGACGATCATGCAGAAGGCAATGATGGTGATTGCTACGGCACTGGGCATTTTGAGGTGGAAGTTGATTGGGGAGTGTAGTTGGTGATAACAAGAAAGGTAGAGAGGTACCGGGCATATGTACTAGGACAATCGGGTTTGTTCATGATCTGTCTCATTTATAGAAGATGACCTAGTACAAACCAGACAAATAAACATACAAAGAACTTGGAGTTTGACTGGACAATTCTCTTTCATCTCGAAACATCTCTCTTGTCATGACTCAACGGAACTACCGTAGGTCTTGTTCTAGTGAACAAGAACAACAAGAACAATAACAACCTTTCAGTTCTTCAGTCAGCATGGTGCTGAAAGATTCTTTTGTCATCAACAGGAACCTGAGGAAACATGAGCAACCTCAAGACAACAATAATGCATGGACAACTCATAATTGTGTGGAGAGCACGGAAACCTCGGGAAGGATTCTAAAGCCAGGGACCAGCAGCGAATGGATGAAGAAATGAATGCTTGAGAAAGAAAAGAACATGAACAGGGTACTTTAAATGAGAATCTGAAGTCGAAAGTATTATTGACAACACAACAAATCAAATCAAGCTACTGTAATTAATCCAAACACTCGATGCAACACTTGACACTAATGGCATTGGTGTTATTCGCCTATAGAACATGATGAAACATCAATGTTCAGAATTGTGGTCGTGAATATGCCTTGTGTTAGAGTATCAAGGGTCTTGCTGTAAGCTTGGCGGACCCTTACAGTGCAGGGGATATCTCACAGCCACTATGATTCTGCTACGCCGCTCTGTTCACAACGATTTTAGGAACTTGCTTTTGTGTCTGGATAATCGATAGGGAAACCAGTGGCCGTCGTGAAAGGATTCGAGGATCTACGAATTAAGTACGACTTATACAGATACTGCGACATTCGACATTCGACATTCGACATGGCCAACCATCGCCCGTCGACCTCAATTTCTCGAGCACGTCTCACACAATCGTTACCACCCTTACCCCAAGAAGATGAAGTAGCTCTCGCACCATATCATGACGATCCGGCAGAGGATGAAGTTGCAGAGGTCACAGAAGGAATAGAAAGAAACCAAGCCGATATGAACGAACCTCCTGAATATGAACCGATGCACGATTATTTGGCCAGCAGAGTACATCGATTATCTCAAATGCGGCCTCCCGAATATGAATTGTCGTCGCAGGACCAAACACACGATATACCACTTCAGCATCAAGAACCTTACCGAGATGACCCCTTCATTATCACGATAGATCCAGAGCAACCTCCACCGCCATCCTACGAAGCTTTATACGTACAAATCCAAACCGAATTAGAGATATTGAACGAAGAAATAGATCCGGATATAGGTCATGCTGAGGATGTATGCAAGTGGTTAGTTAGCATGATCTTGATTGCTTTGACAATTGTTGCTGTTGGATTTGCATTCAATTGGGGACACCCGTTCTGAAATTTATTTGAATGCCGACAACAGAACAGTGAAAGTAAGGGAAGCGATGGTGGTGGAATTATACCCGGTCAAATAGAAATGGAGCTTGGAGTTTGAAATTTGAAATTTGAAATTTGTAGCATGGAAATGCTATTGGTATGGGATAACGGTTTGCGAGGGGAGGAGCGCTTAAAAGATTGTTTCTAATACAATACTCAAGTACTCGAGTAGAATAACTCGTACAGTACAATGATTTACCAAAGAGATCTAAATGAAGCCTTCAACGTATTTTGCCTGTTCTCACCGCCCATGTAAGGTTATCGCGAGGGCTTTCTAGTTTGGGAATAGCATTCCCAACTCTCTACCCCGCTGCAGTCCGGAAAGTATGCGATAAAGAACACATTCATCTAAAGTTGCTCCTCCCTTATCGTTCGTATTACCTATCGTTACATTATCGTTTCCACTGATAATGTAAAGGTGAGTTAGCGGAGGAATGTGGGAGGGTATATGGGCAGGGTTCTGAAAGAAGTGGTAAGGGAGATGAATGGGTAGGGTGGGGGTTGGTGGGGAGTGAGATGAATTTGGAAGGTGATAATCTCATTACTAGTAAGTAGGACATGCTCCTTAGGTCTGTATACAAACCCTCACAACTCCTTCCTTTTAAATAGTTGTCAAATCCAAAACCTCTTCAGGTTTGCCTTGATTTGCGTGTTTTATCTTCTCCAAATAGTCATTTCTCGGTTAGCATGGCACCAGCAACAGTAACAACAGCAGTTGGAGCATCTTGGCAGGAAGTTGCCAAAGATAGGCAGAGACATCGTGATGAGACTATCGCAGCTATCGTGCCGACTGTCCCAGAAATAACTAATATTCCGTTGAACACATTATTAGTTGCGAAACAAGTACTTACAGCAGATGAAATCAAAATCACAGAAGCTGCAGTTGAAGATCTTGTGGCCAAACTTGCAAAAGGAGACTTAAGTTCAACCGAGGTTGCCAATGCATTCTTGAGAAGAGCTGGATTGGCACAAAAAGTGGTATGTTGACCCCTCAGCCCTACGGGTTTACCTTGGACTGATCAAAGATCAGACTAATTGTATCACCGAACTCCTACCCGAGCGAGCCCTATCTCGTGCGAAATATCTTGATGAGTATCTCGAAACGAATGGAAAGCCTCTTGGTCCTCTTCACGGCATACCGATAAGTGTGAAAGAGCATATGGGGGTTAAAGATTTGGATCAAAATGCGGGTTTTGTTGCTTGGGTTGGCAGAACAAGTCCAGTCGATTCTCACATTTTGGAGATCCTGTTGAATGCAGGAGCTATTCTGTATGCTAGGACTACACAGCCTCAAACGTTGATGCATCTTGAGACGAGTAATAACATATATGGGTAATATGGACCGAGAACTTTCATTGACACTGCTGATTTTTTTTGTTAGAGTGACTGTAAACCCTTTCAATACCACCTTGACTTGTGGTGGATCTTCTGGTGGTGAGGGGGCATTGGTTGGGTTCAGAGGCTCATGTCTGGGTATTGGAACTGATATTGGTGGCTCAATCCGTTCACCGGCCGCAAACAATGGTAACTGAGAGCGAAGTTGTCAATCAAAAAATATACTTACCTCTGTACAGGTATATATGGCATGAAGCCAACAGCTCGTCGACTACCGATAGACGGATGGACTTCAACCATGGCTGGCGCCGAACACATCGTTCCCACAATCGGCCCATTGTCAACAAGTTTGGAGGGCTGCAAAGTCTTCATTAAGACACTCATCGATGCAAAGCCTTGGTATAAAGAACCATCTCTTTTACCTTTCCCTTGGAAGGAAGAAGATTTCTTTCGAGGAAAGAAATTAAGAGTTGCCATTTTATGGGATGACGGGGTTGTAAAACCACATCCGCCGATCACAAGAGCATTACAGCAAGTCGTGGATAAGCTCAAAATGAATGATAATATAGAAGTGGTTGAATGGAAACCATACAAGCATCACCTTGCTTGGGAAATAATTGTAAGCGTGAAGTTTTCAGCAAAACATCCACCGCTAATTTGCTTCAGGCCAATTTGTATTTCTCGGATGGTGGAGTACAAGAACTCGATGCGATAACAGAGTCTGGAGAGCCTCTCCGTCCTCTCACCGAGCACATTATTACTCAAAACCCGCACGTAGAATCACATAGCATTGCCTCGATGTGGAACTCCCAAGTACAACGAGATAACTATCGAACTGAGTATGCGGATGTTTGGAACAAAACAGCAACTTCCAAGGGATCCAACGGCGAGCTCGAAGGAATGGTAGACGTGATACTATCTCCAGCTGGACCAGGCAGTGCGCCGAAGCTGGACACTAGTAAATGGTGGGGCTACACCTCGCAGTGGAATCTATTAGATTACCCCGCCATAGTCTTTCCAGTTGACCAAGTCGATGTCGAGAAAGATAACACGAAAGAGGCGTACACTCCCAGAAATGAGCAGGATAAGTACAATTGGGATCTATGGGAGAAATACGGAGCTGAGGGTTACAAAGATGCACCAATTAGTTTGCAATTAATAGGAAGACGGTAAGTTATGTATCAAAATTGGGAGTCTACTCATGCTAATTCTTTGCTTTGTAGGTTCGAGGATGAGAAAGTCATCCAAGCGTTAGAAATCATTCAAGAGCAAACTAAACTACCGTTTGTTGAATATATTTAATCGAACTCCACTCGTATAGCAAGCACTCTAAGTACCGGTACTGTACCTAGTCTATATATCTCACAAATTTAGAATATAATATCCAATAGAAGTCAAGAGTACTATATCATAGTAGTAACTACTATGAAGGGGCTCGCTTATTTTCCTCTACATTACCTTTGCCCACTTCAGACCCTCATCCTTATATCCATTATACTGTGACTCGTAATCATTATCCACTTTGATAAATCCTCATTGTGATTGATGACCCATCAGATATCATCTAAAGTCATTTTTAACGTTGCTTAGTAATATGAAAAGATGACGGAAGATAAGGCGTATCAGACAAGGACATTCTATATTATCGGTATACTTTTCTCCAATTTTAATGATCTCGTCCATTTCCTCGGCTGGCGTGTAATACTAAATTTCCACCCCTCTACGTAATAATTCCACTACCAAATCGAATCACAAAATTTCCGGCATCACATATTATTTTCTCATCACAACTATATTGACAACAAATTATTTCATTTCATTTTATTCTTCTTTTTTGCATAATCATTGAAACTCACCTACTCGAGTAGTGTATGTTATCAAAACAAAGACTAGCTAAATCGCAGTAGTTACAAGAAATATAAGGTTCCGAGTTAGGCCACTGCCAGTGATGATAGCTGAAGATTACAATTATCTTTCCTAATCACAAAATCGCATCTGTATCAATACTCGACTAGATAAAGGATCTATATCGAAACGCTCGACAACTACTCGAGTAGAAGCAATATAGAATATAGTGTTAGGGGGCTCAATGTTCGAGCAAGTGCCTAATGATGTCCTGTGCTAGTGTTGTTTCTATTTCTAGATGTGGGTCAATTAGGTCCTTGTAAATGGACGGGACGGGACCACCAACTGAAGCGCGTCGCATTGCTCTGTAGGCATATACTGATAATGGAAAATGGATGGTTGAGATGGAAATTTGTGAGAGGTGAGGGATGAGGGATGAAAGATAAGAGTATTGATATGTATTGAAATGTTTTCTCAATTAGCCAATATTCTTTCGTCTCAAAATTGCTCATTCTTATGTCAAAGGTTCTCCCTCCCACTTTCTACACATATTTACTCGTATTAAGCATCAATATCACCTACCTATCTGAGCAAGTTACCTTCCGATAGACTTTCACACTTATTAACAATCACATTGATTTGCACCACTACAAAACTGCGCCTTATACCACCCCGCACCATCACAACATCTAAACAAGGCCACCAAATTATTCCTTCTACTCCCTTCCTATTGGCCAATGGTACTTCTCTCCCAGCGTCAACGGTCATTGGAGCTCTCTAATTTCCCCATAAATTTACTTGCATTTCCCATCACCCTAATGATATGGCGCATGGAATAATGGAGTGCATGGATGCCATGTGGTCTGTAGGAATAACATTTTAGAATTCATTCCTAGTTCCTTCCCATCAGGAATTTCCAGAAGAGAGTTGATGTAAGGACGTCGATGAGCCTCATTCTAGGTCCTTATGTACTGGGCACTTCTCCCGGTGTGTAAAGGTTTTGGTACCGATCAGTTTACGGCCAATCTTTTTCTAGTCTTTCTTTAATCGAACGTCTGTCCGTCACTTGGCATTAGTTGAATGACGTGCGTGTTTGTTGTTCAATTTGCTGTTGGATTATCATTGGATTGTGAGAGAGTGATCTAAATACACTTTCATTACTTATATTCTTCCTACCTTCGAATCACTCTGAGAATCCTTCCTTTACTCTCACCTCTCATCACCATATCTAATATCTACACAATCACCATCCAAAATGTCTTCATCAACCATCTCAAACACCCCCTTTACACCCAAAAACAAAACACCCACCCGCTCTCCCTCCACCTCCTCTACAAACTCAAGATCCTCAAGCATCTCACGACACATCTACCAATTCACGCCCAAATCCCTCACCCTCACCCGTTCTCTCTCCGCATCCTCATCACAAACCTCACATTCACATTCACATCTACACTCCCAACCCTCATCACCATTTCTCGAGCCCCCTTCTCAATACGAGACTCGTCATCCCAGCGAATTGATCTATAGAAGAATGCCCGATAGTCCCAAACCCCATTATTTTTACGAGCGACCGGATTTTTTCATCCCCAAGAGATTGGCGCCGAAAGCGCCGAGTTCCCCTAGGGCGAGGGTCTTTTTGATTGATGGGGTGGATAGTGGAGAGGAAGATGATGAGTGAGGATGGAGATGGAGATGAAATATCATATGGGATGGTGGGATGGGTGTGAGATGATATCGGGAAGGGATGATGAGAATACCCAATACACGATCATTGAATCCGCGAAGAAAGTTGGAGCTGTGCAATTGCAATTGCAAATTCAGCAGCACAGCTACCCACGGGACAAAGCAGTTTAGGGACTAATAAGCCTCGAGGGTGCAAGCCTTCGAGGACATACATTTCATATCTGGGCTTGGTTTGGTGCATATCATACTATATCGGAGGGCATTGGATAAAGGCAGGCTTTTGGGGCGCTATCATTTATTTATACCCTGTTTTATCATTCCTTTACTATACATTACATTCGTTGGATTTGCATGTATAGATAAACTTCTCTTATTTTGACTGCTGGTCTACGATTTTTATGTGTACTGGTTGTAAGATCTTACCTTTACAAACATGTATGGAATTTTCATTTTCAAAATAACAATGTTGTTTGATGTGCTCTTAAGATTACATTACTCTGGAAGACAATTGTGAAAACCGCTAAATCCTGGAAGAGGGTATATTAATCATCAAGCCGAAGAATTATTGGTATGCGATACGAATATGAATTATCATGGCCCCTTCTAGCGTGGTAATAATGCCCTTTCATTCCCATTACTACATCCTCAACTTCTGCTTTCTACTTGGCTTTCTACGATATTCCATCTTCGAGTACGTACTAAGTTCAGCGGAAGTGACATCTTGGCTCATGCATGTGTATAATTCTGATATATGGGCTTTTTGGAAGCGAGAGGGGAAGAGGGCAATGGTGGAGGTGACTTTGTTGGAGCCAGATTCAATGCTTGCGGCGAAACTGTAGGAAGGTGGATTTAAGCCACCGTTGACAATGTGAGAATCTTTGCTGAAGAAACAATGGTAAAAGAGTGGTTGGAGGAAAATGAGATTACCCGCAGGTTATGCCAATTGCTTCTTCCATGTAGATTGAGACTTATCATTCGACTTGGGTGACTGGTTCTGTGTTAGATTTGTCTTTGAAATGGCTTCATTGTTCGGGATAAACCGGGCGCTCTGTATGAGCTGATTACTCGGGGGGGGGGGGGTCTATACAGTATATTGAATGGAGAACAGAGGAGCGTACAAGTCAGATCTTCGGTATTGACAGCGAGGAGAGCGACGAGGCTAATTGCGCTTGTTATTGTAACGCCACATAGTCTAATAATACCAGCTTATAACACTCACTCAAAGTATACCAGAAGATGGCGAAACTTACAAGATGCCAACTGTAAATATTCCTATAAGGGTAGTCTTCTTTCGTTAATTCATCTGTAAATTCAATATTATAGGTAATGGCATACAGAGAATGGCACAATCTCCCACAAGCCTCAAAAAACCGTTCGTGAATGATATTATTCTCAATGCATTTGGAATACGATAGACTTTCTAGTCCTTGTTACAGAAATATGATACCGGTGTGCATTCAAAGGTAGGTGCTACCAAAGCCGGAATTGTCCATAATAACGTATAGACTCCTACACCTTAGGCGAATTACCTGGATTCTGAAATGGGAAATAGACGACAGAGAGAATAATTGGGGAGGTTCTGAGGCAGAACAGACACAATGGTTGAAGTCTTTGGATCATCCATATTAACTCTAACCACAATCAGCTGCTATTAGTCGAAGACCAAATTAAGGGATAAGAATACGAGCAATCTAAACGTTTCTGATCGTCTTCGGAAACACTGACTTGATGATTCCCCAGTCCTACAATTAGTCCCATTCATCACTTAATAAAGGAGCTGTATACTAACAAATACCTTCTATACCACATACAGTCAGGTTCTACATCATATTATTCGACAATAGGAGTACCAGTACCCAGTCTCAACAATAACACAGCTCCTATAAACCAAATCTTCGCTTGGTATTCTGGGAACTGTGCAAAACTTTGCAAATATTCTCAACACAAAAGAAACGATTTCGTGATAAGAAGTAAGATCGTGGAAACTAGCACGAACGACCTTTTACCTTGTACGTCAAGATTATGAGGATGCAGCAAGCCCATGGTGAAAGAAAGTCAAAGTCCAATGTGAAGTCTGAGGAGCGGAGAGCGCGTTTGGTGCTAAAGCAGATGGTAAGATTTTACAAGAATATCAGTAAGAGTGATTCGCAGAACCTGTCTCTCAGACATGAGTTGATCAAGCTTCTCCAATATAATTAAAGGGTTGAGTGGAGATCATGATTGGATGGTTCGTTTGACGTTGAAAATTTGGACACTTGTGCATTATCTATGTAGCAGAATGTAAACCATGTATTCAGATGATTCAAGTACTGATGTAGTCCTGCGGAATGATCTACTGTATTATTACCTATACAGGAGCTATATGCCTGAGCTTTAATGGCGATGCGTGCCCTTATTCCGCGGCGAAAAATATGAAATGTAGGTAGACTGGGGGCTCTGAAGTATCGTTTCCGTTGTGCCTGAGTACGGAGTAGCGTGATTGCTATTTCTTCGACAGTGGGAGCAAGTGCTCTAGATTGGGTAGTCAAGGTCATAAATGCGTGCGTGTATCGAGTTCGAAAGAACTCTATACTCTTATGGTTATATTTACTCGTATTGATAAGCACTACTGAGTAGTAGTGTTATTACACTCCCCAAAATGCGGGGTTTGAGTTCTTTCTGGTTAAAATAAGCTTCCCGCTTGTCCTTCCTTGTGAGTCTGAAGTTTAGATCTTCAACCGAGTATTTAGTTAAGGGTTCAAATCTCCAAACTTCGCCTAAAATACAGGGACCGAGGACTGATCTATGTACGAGTAGAGTAGACAGTCTACTCATATGACTATCTATCAAAATTACGGGTTAGTGAGCGACCCCTTAATTATGATCTCCACACCAAGAGCTCAATACAATGCGAACGATGAATTTGAAAGTCACCTCGAATTTATAAGCCTTTGTGTTGCAAACCTTATAGTAGGTTTGGCATCAGCGTCTTCAAACAAATCGACACTTCAACAGCGAGACAAAGTATCTAATTTCTTTTCTTCTCGTTGGCTTAACCCTCCTACCTCACCTGATGAGAATTTACTGGTATACCTTGCCGCAGCCATCTCCAAAGCAACCCCATCTCCAGTCATCTCCATAGTTTTCACTAGAAAAACTCCTTTCTGATGCAGCGATACGAGTACATCCAAACGATGTCAACGGGAAATGTCTGACTTTACAAGACCTCGACATCGATAGTTGAAGAGAGATTATCAATTACACTTGAGGGGTTCCTTCAAATCACTTCAAATCTTGACGATGATCCTCATTTCATCAGCTAAAATATCAACCCTATTCGCTACTGCTAATACAAACACAGCTCAGAAGATCAAAAACAGCAAGGCCAGCGATCCCAATTTTCCCATCTTGGGACTCACTTCCTCTTCCCTTCCTCTTCCGATCCTCTCTTATCCCACTCCTAATACCGGTAGTTGAAAAATGAAGGTTAATTTCTACCTGTTCCTTCCTGATTTCAGAGCTAGGATAGGATAGGATAGTATAGTATAGGAAAGAAGAGGGAGAACCTATTGAAGAGAGAAAGAAGGGGGTTCAAGGTTGATATGGGTGGTTAATGCGGGAATAGTGATTATACTCGAGTGAGTATATCGATTGATAATTTGGCATTTGCGAGATCATATCGTAACCACAGAGCGGAACACAAATTACAATACCCAAAATCAACGACGTCTATCGTCTTTTTACATATTGCCCTTTTCAATGTGTGTGGCCATCTATTACTCTGAGTTTCGCAGTTGTCTTTTTCTTTACTGATACTTCGAATATAGACCGGGTCTTGGAGCCAAAATTACAGTAAGCGACTCACCTCACTCCCCTGAATAAACATAAATATTCCTCCAGAAAATCAATCTCTTACATGTTAATGAAGAAGAAATAAATATAGATATCAAAAGAAATCAAATATCAAATATCAACCCCAACCCCAACACCCATACACCAGAACCGCCCAAAATTCCCAAAACCTAACTTTTATTAGATTGGGAGATTCCCCTTCGCCCACCCACTCCACTCCACTCCACTCCATCATTCATCCATTCAATCTATCTATCAAATCTGAAAACGAATCATCCATCCATCAAGAACCCGCACGGCGCACACTGATGATTCCCTTTGCTCTGTTATTTATTACTTCGACTCTGATTCCTACTACGGCGTGCTTTTACTCTTCATCTAGCCCTTCTACTTATACTTTTGTATGCGAATGGGGGTTTCGCAGGATAGCACTGCCAAGCAAGAAGATAGATAAATAGACAGACGGATAGACAAGTCAAACATAAACAAACCCTCGAAAGCAATAACAACAAAAACAACAATAATAAGAACAATAAGAAATAAAAGGAGAAAATAATAAAAAACCCCCAGTAAACGCGCCACACGGCGCCTTCTATCCTATGTTTTGAGATGAATTCTCAAAAGATGGTGGTTTATTTTCTCTTTCCCTTTCCTATCAAACTTATCTAACTAACTAATTGATAGACGGACAGACGGGCAGGCACTTGCCATTTGATATCATTTCATATCATATTAAATCAACACACAACACACAAACACAAACACAAATAGTCACATCTATTTCCATTCCGTTGATGCTATATAGACTAGGTAGCCATATTTTAGAAACCGTCCCGTTCTTCATTGATTCGTTATCTTATTTATTGCCATCTTCCATCTATGCTCATTGCCAAAGATTCCGCGATTGTATTTCTCCTAGTTACTTATTCGTGATCTTTCCTTCCCTTGCCATTCATTCATTCATTCCATCCATCCAAATCATTCAGCAGTAACATAAAAGTAAACGTAAAACATTATCGGCCGTGACTCCCCCATCCCATCCCATACCATAAAATCAATCAAACCTCCCCTATATCCACAGCGTTCCCCTAAACATACGCCCTCCTATGATCGCTCCTTCTACTCCTATGACTCCCACTCCTCCTATGCCCATGCCTCGTAACATGCGTCTCCCTCACATAAACCTTATCATTTCTGCCCCCCATCCTCTCACCACCCCCACCCCCCACCATAAAAGCCAGCAAACTAGTCATTGCAAAAAAGATACAATTCATAATGCCAAACGCAAAACAAGCCTTAAGCATCGCACACGTCTTATCGACTTTAACACTAACACCATTAACATCGGCATTGCCCCAGGCGCCGAAATTAATATAGTAGGCGGCGCCAGTGTTGACAGATGCGCAGTTGGAGTGCGTGATGAAGCGTAGCTCGTAGACGCCGGCGATGAGGGCCCCGACGAAACAGAGATCGATGATGCAGACGAAGATGGCGTTGGAGCGCGTGCGGTGGTAGGTGAAGAGGGTTGCGATGGCCCAGGCGCAGGCGAGTACTGAGACGATGAAGAGTACTAGGATGTAGTTTGGGGTTAGGGCATTGTTGGAGGCGTAGATGTGTACAAAGTATGCGAGCATTCCTAATGTGGGGATCTATGAGTGAAGTAGGGTTAGTAAAGTGTAAGGGGAAGGCGGGGGATGGTGAGACTGCATACCAGAGTGATGATCTCGCAGAATCGCCAAAAGGCGAAGAACATTCCGAAGAGCATTTTGAGGAGTTTATCTTTTCAGATAGATATATGGTTTGATAGGAGGAGTATATTGTTCATGCGACAACAAAGATCGATACTTTGCGATGATATTGACGATGCGACGGTAATGTGGTGGAGAGATAAGCTGAAGCTAAAGCTTATGCGACAACGAATAGTTGATGATGATACTGAGTTCCAAATGTGCGAATCAAATCACTTTTCCTCTTGCTTGCTTATTCGCAACACCTAAAACTCAAACCCAAAACCAAATGAGTTATAATAAGAGCAAAAAGAATAAAAAACTTCGTCCAGAAGAGATGCGAAGCTATGTCCTCTTATCAGTCCAGTCCAGTCCAGCCGACAAGACGATGAGGTTGGGATGGATTTGCCCTGCTTTTCACTATGATGCAGCCTTGTTTGATAATGTGGGATATGGTTGGTGGGTTTGACGCTTCCTTCGAGTGAAGTTGCAAGGATTGAAACAAGGTGCTGGGTAAATGCTGACGACGAATTGACCAGGCTCTAGAAAGACTCTGGAAAGACTTTCCAACGGGGATTGGTGCTTGGTATAACGGTGTAACCAACCAGTGTGTAACCGGTGTGTATAAGTGAGGATGGATGTATATGACGTCGATGAGGTTGATGTGATTCTTATCGGTAACCCAATCTTACTTGATAGGGAGTGATTAAGATATGTCGTCTTGTCTAATTCATACAATATACACTTCAACGTTATACAGATTCAAAAGGATCAAAATACCAAAACACCAAAATACAACCAAGATAGATGGCTGGGAATATAATCCTACTACTGAAAAGTCTTCACAGTTCACACAACTAGAAGTGCACCACCCATGTTGACAAGCCGCATCCCATCTAACATCGTGTACCTGGTTACACCAAAAATATGCATTTCGTTGTTGCTACAAATAATTGGCGGGGTTGGGATTGAGGCATCGAAGGAAAAAAAAAAATGCAGTGGCAGGGTGTTGGCGCCCAAAGATCCTTGAACTTGATGCAGGGTGACAACATTTTTTCAGTATCTATCCGATGGAACTCGAAAACAAGAACACAACCCAATTTTTATCATTGAACCAAATTTATCTTGTTAGAAGTTAGAACTTAGGACGGTCTGGAACTAGAATTTGATCTAGGATCAATAGGATGCTGCATAGTGCAAAGTTTCATTATGTTTTGCCAACACAACAATGATTGATTCGATTTCAGTCTTCTCAGGTACCGTCGGATACCGTGTGGGGAATTCCATCCGTACCTGTTCGCTGTACCTGTTCGCCGAGTTGATACAGTAAATGCCTATATCACCAGCGGTGAATCGTCTTGCGGGTTCCATAAGTTGTTGTCGACTCCATCTCTCGCCCAGTCTCTCTTCATCATGTTTCAATTTACCCGAAGCGTTCATCCGCGTCTTTAGTTACTGTACTAAATTTTAGTACATGATGTCGGTCAGGCCCGTGACGCTAGATCAATTTTTAGGCCAGAACTTTGTCGGCTTTGAGAGAATAGCTCCGGTATCTCGCACGAGTCATGCTTGAATAAAAACAATAAGGAATTGATATTGGCATTGAGCCCAATCCTTTTCCAGTTTTCCAGTTTTGGATGTTCGCATTCGCGCCGAGAAAGTAATTGTTCAACTCCTTGAGGCATCCTCACCAACCGTATATCCTCTTGCTACACCACTTCTCCCTTCTTCAACGATCGCAGCTACTTCTCTTTCTCTGCCCTCGTCAATCGCCTCTTTATCGTAATCACTACCTAGCCCCGTCCAGGTCCTCTTCTCCCTTAAATATTCCGCGCCAGGGCTAAACTCCCCATTGACCGTTGCCAATTCCATTTTTGCTCTCTTGACCAGTTTGTTTGATGCACTGCGCTGTAAACCGTTCTCCAACTCTTTCTTAGGCTCTGACGAAGTTGTCTGGGAGGAGCGCACAGGTCGAGAATGCGAAACATATCGGCCAGTTCGAAGATCGAATTCGGGAGGCATCGATTCTTCCTCGGAGTCTTCTGCATCCCCAGTAGCGTTTTTGTTCTCCGGTTCCTCGACGGCATCTGACTTCGCCGGTTCTGCAAAATAAACAGGAGAGGTGGCAGCTTGCAGATTCAATGCATTGAAATCTGCAACCCAATCACCACCCCAGACTCGTTCATCATCACTCTGCAAAGCCAATGCCAGTTCGAAGGGTGTAATAACCGGCTTGAATAATGCTTCACCCTCCACCAAACTACTTTCCCAACATCCAACCACCACCCAACCTTCGATTTCACTAAAATTTGCCAACTTCGCAGCATTGACCTTGCCTACCACAAACGTGTATGATTTCTTCCCCTTTGATCGTATAAGTGAGGCCAGCGTATTGACCGTAGGTAAATAATTCGTTACACTTAGAGTGTTTATCAGGATCCCAAACACAGGACAGGAAGACAGTGATGTAAGTAAAGCATATCTTCGCATGAGAGCTCGTGCCGTATTGGTTTTCGTCGTTTCGTTTCCTGTCGTGGGATCTGTAGAATAAATATGCATATCCTTAACTCTGCTTGACAAAGTAAGTAGTAACGCAGATGGGGGCTCGCTAATGTGAAATAAACTATAATCCTTCATATCCACCCCTCCATCCAGTTTGCGATTCGGTATTGTAGCACTGGGATCGTGTGCGATTTCTGGCGCAAGTATGTTTTCATAGCCTCGATCTCGTAATTGGGCAAGTAGTGACGAGATATGCGAATGATAGGTAATGTCGGCCATAATAATAACTTTGCCATCCTTCTCCTTGTATGTATTTTCAAATGATTGGACGACAGACTCGAGTTCTAGGGGTCGAGATGTGAAGACGTAGATCACAGGTAATCGTGCAGTGGGAGATAGACAAGCGCGACCATAGTGTACGACTACCTGCGCATCGACATGTTCAGCGGCGATTTCATCGACACAGCAAGAGCCGTAAGAAGTATCTGCCAATATGTATAATTTATGTCGGAGACTTGAGGTCGCAGAGTTCGCTGATGGGTTGCTAAAGTCTGTTTCTAGATTTGAACCTTCGTTCTTCGGGGGTTCACTCGAAGTTGGTTCCGTAGGTAGTTGCCGAAGTCGTTGCTCCAGTTCTTGAAAGACTCTCGGTGCATCTCCCAACATGCCATCCGAAAACTGTAAAGCGATTTTCTTCCATCCTCCTTCTCGGATCTCTTTCACCGTCCGCGAGATCTCGTAAACATTGTATAAGTCTTCATCTGAAAGTTTCGGGAGATCATTCTTTTTGGCCAAAGGTGTGGGATCTTCAAATATATGCACTTCTGGAGTTGATAGAACTGGAGCTGTAGTTAGTTGTTCCATCGTTTTATTTCGTTTGTCAAAGAAAATTCACATGGCGGGGTTTCGACTTCACCCCGCTGTATGGCGGTGAAAAACGGCAATATAATATCACGCAGAACAGCTCCATCGAAAGGTAATTATTGAAAACATAGACCACAGTTACCGGTATTGAGATCGTGAACAGAAATTGGATGATATATTCACCATGGAACGGGACACATCTGACCATATAAGCTTTGGGAGCTAGGATATTTTACAAATGATATGATCTCACCACCCACAACACAAAACAAATCAGTTTCCCGTCATGTTTATTTCTCATATCAATTCCATTCCATGTATCTACAATTCGCATCTATTCTTTTATGAACCAACGATCCCTCCCATCCCCCTTTCCACTGCAGTGACATGTCCGAATTCGAATTTGAAAGTATCCCCAATTGTATTGTACCGGCCAAGACCAAGGGAACAGTCCAAACAGACGTCAATCCAATCTTCCATCCGCGAGCTCCATGCGGATATATCATCCTCGAGATTCCATGTTGATGAATCATACACAAGAAAAGGTGTTGAAGAGGAAGCAGAAGGTAGAAGAAGAGGAAGAAGAGAAAGATGAAGGAAGATTCCACCATAACACCAACCATTGAAATTTGGGTATCCATCCAACGACCCACCAAATCAGACCATACGAGACCGGGTATCCGAGAATCAGAGCAGACAACATCATATCGTTCGATCGAGAAATTCGATACTGTTGCCCGATGAAGAGGAGACCATAGCAATAGCAGCAGATTCTGCAAACAGGCGAGATTGCTCGACAAGTCTTCACCATATATTTGGCACCTCTTTTCAGCTCCACCAAAATAAGGAAATATTCACGTTGCTCATCACATCCCATTGATATCCTCTAAGCATGTTCGTCAAAATCCCGAATCTGCATAATCTGCTGTCCAGAAAGTGGAAAGTTTCTTCCTTTCTGATGTCCCTTGTGATTGCCAGCATCAGGACTATCATTACCATTACCATTTCTCATACCAGGCCAAATAGATTCGTCTATCTTCTCAATACCAGGCGCATAGCCAGAATTGCTACGTTGCGGTTGAACATTTGGGTGGGGAGAAGAAAAGATTGGTGAGGCGACCGGTGTAGAAGAAGCGCTCTTGTAGATTCTCAAGCCCATGATTTCTCCCTCTTGAACGGGCGGTGGAGGAGCTGAATAAGAAGTCGCTTGGTAGGGAGGTGGTCGGGCACGTGATGATTGGTATGCCGTCGTGTTGCGGTTATGGCTGAGAGGGTGTCGAGGCGTGGATCCATGTGAGGAGGGGGTTCGTGGGAGAGGTGCGTTGGGAGGGAGAGTTGGCGGGTAATTGGTCGGTGGGTAATACTTCTCGGTCGGTTTGGAAGAATATTGCTGTTCGATAGGCTGTCTTGGAGGAGCGGGGAAAAGCGATACAGTCTTTAATGGTGGTGGTGGCGATTGCGCAGTCTTTGGAGATAGATCTCGAGTGCGAATACTTAAGTGATCTCGCGGCTGCATGGTTACAAAGCTTGCTTCGCTATCAGCAATAGATGCAGCAGTTGAGGTGCGAGCGGTATCCAAATCAGTGGCAGTTTCAGCCTCAGAGAAAGTGGCGGTTCTGGTCATACTCTCAAGGCTAGACATGGAGGACATGGACATGCCGGTAGTATTGGGTTCGAGTCTCTCTGGTACAGAATCGAGTCCACTATTTTCAGCTTGTCTTTGTTTTTGCCATGTCGAGGATACGGTCCAGCAGTGGCTTCGATCGTGTTCAGCCTGCTGTTTGAGTGATTGATCTTCGATCCATGCAGGTTGTTGCTCCACCTTACCGGACAAAAAGTACTCGACCTGGTCGGAATGTGACAATCCTGGCGTGTCGATAACAAGTGTTGAAAGAGTCTGCAAGATGAAGTAAACAAGAACCCAGCGAGCTCGACGCGCGCTTCTTGGATCGCATTCGCCAATTCTATCGGTCTTCTCCCACTGCAGAAATGCCTCCACCATATCGTTACCCTCGTATTCGTCTCCAAGGAGAAATATGTTTGTTGCCTCAGTATACGCGAGAGCGGACTTTCTAGCTTCTAGCTGTGTAATTCTTCCTTGGGTGGGAGGGCACGATTGAGGAAGTCGAGGATAAGGATGAGGAATGGTCGGGAAGTTGTGATGACTGTCGAATCGCTCGATAAAACTGGTGAATTCGCAATCATGGCTGTCGGGACGAAAGTCTGGAGAACCAGGACGAATGATGCTAGACATGCGGCTGTGCACCTCGACTGAACCATTCCAAATAACCTGTCGATCTACTAGGTAGTCATAAAGCGCATATAAATCTGCGGCTAAGGTTCTGACAATAATTCTGGTAAGCCAGCCATCGACATTCCTAGAAACTAGTGGAACAGGAGGCCATGTTCCGAACATATACGAGTAATAGTCGCGGAAGAATCCTTGAAGCCCCACAAAAGCTTCACGAGAGCTTACGCTGTTCTGGTTGGAAGCTTCCGGCCAGTAAGATCCATAGTCGAAACTAGCTAACAACCCCTCACAGTAGGCTACTTGACTTGATGTTTCAACGCTGGCCTTGTCCAACATCAACTTTGTAGCTGGTGAGACGGCTCTCCAGCTAAAGAGCAGGGCGACTTGATTGTACATGCCAGCACAGTGCACAAATGCCTCGTGCCATCCTTGTTGCCAGTGCACTTTCTTGTACTCACTCCATATCAACAGACTGCAAGCTAGCTCCGGATCATCACGAAGATCTTGCCAACCCATTGCTTTGATATAGTTGACAAGAATATCAGTTAGCTGCTGGTGTCGAGGCATGATGTCCAGGAAACGATCTTGTAGATCGATCAATGCTTGGTGTAAGGTATATCCAACAATTCCTTTGCCAGAGCATGCCGCAAAGACATTTCGCCAAGACAGCTTGTATTTTAGTAATTCCTGCTTCGAAATATTTCCAGCCGCGGGTAACGTAAATCTGTACGAGATTTGGGAGGCGTCGAAACTTTTGCTGGATTCGGAGCCTGGAGGAGTTGGGTGTTTAGGTCGGTTGGAATCATTTCGGTAAGAGCCAGCGACGCTCATCGTTTCCACTTCGTCCGTGAGACCGTCACGAAGTAGTGCGTCTACTAAAGGTGACCCAATCGCATCAACCATGTGAGAACGCAGTCTGAAAGAAGGTTGCGGCATCTCACTATCCCCTGCCTCCCTAGCATAGAATACCAGAACATCTCCCTTCGTGTCCCAAAGATCTGGATCTCTGACATCAACTTTGTCCCACAATACAATAGGTTGGCCCTTTCGTCTCCACAGCTTCATCTTCACGGGCATTGGCGGAAGCTCTCCCCTGGAAGCTCCTCCTCGTTTGTAGGCAGGCTGGTTTGAATAGCGTGGAGTTTGTCCCATGGGACTAGTAGGTTGTTGATTTGGAGACGGCAGCTCTTCTGCTGGCAACTCAATCTTCTCCTCTCCAATTGGTGTCGTGGGCGGTGTTTCGTTTAGTTCTTCCTTGCTGCCTTTCTTCTTTTTGAAGACGTTTGCGAAATTGTGACGAAAGTTCTCACTGCTCTTTTCCATCTTCGAACGGAAAGCAGATTTTTCGATTCCAGATGTTTCAATAATCGGCATGTCAGGTCTTCTGATTCGAGCGTACCCGGGGTTATATTCAGCATCATGGTGACCGCTACGGACTGATTTCGCTGCTGAAGGCTCATCCGATTTCACGAAATCAAGATAATCAGAGAAATTCGATGTAAGGCCGTTATCCATACGAGGGAATTCCGAGATTGATGGATCAGACTTGACCGAGGGTGTATGTTCCCTGGTGCCCTTGAGTGTGTCATCTTTATTCAGGTAGTCGTATCCTGCCTTGTTGTTCTTGTCCACCTTCACCTTTCTAACATACGCTGATCGTCCAGACATGGTAAATGTCGATATATGTGAAGAGAGTGGTATGTATGCTCCAGTAAAGTTTTTCAAATGGGGAGCTTTTGATTGTTGAGAAATGTAGAGGATTGGAAGTCTCTTAAAACAAGGGTCGATATTGGTGTGCAAATCATGCGGCAAACGGCGAAGTTGAAGTCGAAAACTACAACGCAAGCTAGCTCTGCAGCAACGGTGTGTGTGAAGAGACAAAAATCTCAAGAAGTATAATATTTCCTCAATCTATGAAGGTTGTAAAAAGCAGAAAGACTTTGAGCAAAGGTGAATGGTAGAAGGAGTGCTGGGTTTGAAGAACCAGCTGTCTATTTTCTTTTGATTAATTGTTGTCGCGTAAATGTTGTGTAATTTCGCGCATACGATCTGTTCCGAATTCGAGGTTATTCAGATGAGAATCAGACTTCACTGTCGCTCCCTTCACTCCAAATAAGACTGTCCAGTTATTCGCCAAAAGCGCTACCAAGGAACTTCCTGGAAAGCTGTAAAGCCACGATATATTATATTAAAGAATAAAATAGCCAGTATAAATAGGATGGAATAACACTAAACTCCACTTCAAAAAGATGCTGTGATGCTCAAAGAACATTGAAGAACAATGAATAATAATATAATGATACAATATAAAACAAAACAGATGAAGTCAATGTTGAAACTTTTCCCAACTGAACGATGGTGGTGGTGGTGGGGAAGGGAGAAAGTTGTACTGGGGAAGGACACAAGGATCTGAAGGGTGATTGATGCGTTTCCTCTCAAGGCTGAAAAGGTGTTACTAGGAGTAGGCTTTACTTTCCTATACCATGCGTGAGATTTGATATGAATGATACCTAGGTATGCTCTTGCATATGGGAGGTGGGAGGTGTGTTCAAGGTATATCTGTTACCATTGTATGGTTGTAGACACATGGTCCGGCGAGTAGTACAATGGAGTAAGGGTAAGCTTTAGAGCTGGATCTTCTGGTGGATTCCCTTGATATTGAAAAGCCCCCCCGCAATCATATCATATCATAGCTTGGCCCCTCTATCTGATGTCCATCGCTTTGGGTATCCTGTCTCTGGCAGACGGGATACGATAGGTTAAAATGATTCAGAACGGAGGACGGGAAACTACAACACAGTCCAGGGAGTTTAAGGTTCGTCTCGAGGCTAGAAAAGAATACCTTGTAACCTTTGTTGCTTCATGTCCAATCACTAATTCATGTATACTCGTACATGTATATTCAAGGATATGATGAAGCAGCACATCAATTGAGAAGGGAGGAAGGGTTCGTCCGAATGGTGTCAGTGGGGGGCAAAGAATATGTGTGAAAGGGGGAGGGGGAGGAGGGGGGGGAGAGGGGGTAAAACTGGAATGTCTACTCCGTAGTATACATGAAGTAAGCATAAGGAAAGAGGTGCCGGTCGGTGGCACAGCTCAACCTATATAATAATCCCGAGCTACCTCTTTCTCTATTACAGATTTTTATTGTTCATATATAAAGTACTCGAGTACTTCATAGAGACTATGAATTAGACAAATATTGTTGGTAGTTTTTCTTACTCGATGCGAATTCAAATCGATATCTAACTAAGCCTCTCCCCACTCCCTGTACCTGTAACAATATTATCCGTTATCTTTAATCGATTTCGGAGCTTTCGTCTCGATTTACCCAAGGTTATTATTAATTCCCACCAAACCACTAAATTCACTATGGAAACAGGGTATGTACGCTCTACTCGGCCCCACTGGCCGCCCTGGATTAGTTTATGGGCTTAGAACCTTTTAGGGCTGCTAGTGCATGAGGTCTTCTTCTTCTACATGGTTCATCTTATGATTCTTATCTCTTGTGTCCTCCGAAGAGATAACTTTACAGCAGCAGCAGATTATCTTCATTTGTCCGTCTTTTATAACGGTTGGCGTTCCAATGAGGTGGCGAAGTACTCGAGTAGCAAATATAGCTGCATTTTGGCTACTCGGCCGCAAGCGAATGTTCTTGGAGAGCGCCTTTTCTGCCCAGGTAAGATTACATATCACGACAACATGAAGTCTAAACCAACCAAACCTCTTTATCGCATCAAAGAGGAGGGGGTAAATGCTAGGAACTTCCTCCCAATGAACTTAACATTTGATACCGAACTCTAGGTATAACTTGGGCTTGCATCGCTAACATCTTTTACTTTCGGACAAACCCCCATCAGAGTATTCTAATCCGACGGCTTTCCGGTTTCAATTATTCGTGCGAATAGGTAGTCTCGGTATCTAGACCCGGAATCAGGAGAATACCTTGGATGACAGTGCCAAGCTCCTTTGAATCTGTGAAGCATATACCCCTGGAGCCTCATCAATCTCTTTTGTCGTCTCATCGTTTGAGGGATTGTAAGTTACCATCTGTACGAAGGACTGCACGTCAGCATCGTATCTCCAGCGCTGAGTGCACGGCCAATACACTCGTTATCTGTCACACATTCACGCATCTTACTCTCCAATTCTCAGCTCATCCCATCATGAACTAGTAAGAAACTGAATCTCAACTCAACGTTGTATAACAAAGGATTCTTCATCATTCAGCTAATGTTCAACGCATTTTGTTCAAAAAGTATTAATTTTCCCCCGTTCTACGCGAAATCCACAGCCAACTTACCCGTTTAGCAGGCCTACCTAGCGATGATACTTCCCTTTACGGCAGTACCCTCAGCAGTCCTTCCGCGATAAGCCATCTTACTCCTCTGAAAGTGGAAGGTAGTCATTTTCAACGTTTCTCTTCCGAAGGAGAAAATCAAGCAACATTGCATATCTTGGCAAAATACCGGTATAGTACTGCATAGAATTCGTCGCCCTCCGAATCCTGGGGACAAACGCTCACTCTCTCATGCCGCCATCACTCTTCTACTAAATTCTACAAGACATTGATTGCATCAAGATCTCCTTGAGATTCGATGATAAACATGATCACCTTGGATCGTCACAGGCTTTCCTGCGAACGAGCCACAGTCCCACAACGAGCCACAGTTCCACAATTTGATGGGCGGACCGAATGCTTGATTCCTTTTTGGACGGGATCCAGATCACATAATCCACATGTGGATAACAGGGCTTGCGAGTTGCAACATCTCGGTTGGATTTCTTCACCAAAACACTCGCAGAGTCTAAGCTAGTGCTTTGTTTTCCCGTCCGTTGAAGAATCCTGAAGTCGAACTTTCACTTGAGTCTCAGTTCGATTATTGCAATATTGGAAAGTCTCAAGTCTAGCATCACATTCCGGCAACTCTGGATATCTCCGACAGTCTTTGGTATTGTTCTTCGGAAAGTCCAAAACATGAATTTCTAGTAGAAAGACATATTGATGTAATGTGTGTACTGCTACACACCACATGCCCGAGAGACATACATACACTGAGTCTGAATCTGTCATATGTTGTAGTCTGTACTCTGGCAGAAAGGCTGCAGCAACTGGGGGTGGTAGTGATATCAATTCACTGATTCCAAACTATCGAACAAGGTCTTTTGAGCCTTGCTGCCTATGGTTTCAATAGAGATTCATCATACATACCCCGCAGTTTCACTAGTACTTTGGCTCGTACCTCGACCAAGAAACATCAAGAAAACAAGCTTTGGTATCTGTACCACGTCCTGTGTGAGAATCCCTCTTGAACAATGTAATGTGGAATGAGCCTCAATTGAATCAGTCGGATTGCCTCATCTTCTATCAATGCAGGCTTGGGTTAATCGCTTCTCCTCGAAGGGTATGGATCGTTAGCAAGGGGAGGGCAATACGCTGGGCTTTCGTACGATCTTGCGGTCTTCTAGTCATGTATCTTCTTGTATCTACTTTCCGCTTGTCTTTCCCTCCATCCTCCCCGATTGTCAAAGTATGATCAATCTATCCGAGTCGCTTCCGATGCACTTCGCTTGTCATAACTCTCGTCTCAATAGTGAACAAAAAGCAACCCGCTTATTTGTATTTCTCATGCTCCTTACATTCTATTTGGCTTATTTATCGACAGAGGAATTGTGGTATCTGGGCATATGTAGGAAATGGCCCATCAACCCGTCTTTGCTGTCTATGCAGGAGTTATCGATGAAAGAAAAGAATTGATTAGGCGTATGCCGCAGAGATAATTCTTGGCATGCAGCTATCAATATATCTCAAGGATACCTAGAGTTAGTGAATAAGATCTTTGAAAGAAGGAAAGCAATCCATAGCTAGAATTATGATTAGCTAGGCACTCTTACATGACCTACACATCATGCTCGAAAACACTCAAGTATGGAATATTAATCTAGGTTACAATCCCCAAGACACGACGCTGTTACCTGTAGTATATTCAACACGCACGGGATGAACAGCACAACCCTCCCCCGAATCCCAAACGAAGCGAGAAAGTCAGAAACTCATATCGATTGCTTTGAAACATTAAAATATATAAATTGACAGTCACAACCATGATCACATCATCACGATGTACAAATCTGGCATTGGGTATCGTGTACGGTGTCACCACACACGTCTCGACTCATGAGTAACGTGCTGAAGATCTAGGGTGAGAGGGCTTGGTATTTAGGTAATTCCGAAGGTATACTGTATATAGAAGGTGCTGTACAAGTCTTACTACATGTACCGGTATCTCCATCTACATACTACGAGTCACGAGTGTGACCTGTCTAGATTCTGTTGGAGATTGAAGATTGAAGATGGGTGTAGCGTGGTGCAGGGTGCAATGGAACTGAGAGATCTGTGGATATACAAAATCTAAACGTATTGATACTGTAGAGACACGAGCTTTGGAAGCTTTGGAGGCGCACGAATGTATACTAGTGCTTTGAAATATGGTGTTTGGCTATAATCTGATGTCTTTGCTCATATCTTCATGCTTGACAATTTGAATAGTATGTGTTTGTGAGCACAGTTTGTCATAACTTTCTCATGCTTCCTCATCACTAATTTCTGTTTATACTTTGCTTCTTTACTGTGATATTGTCTTTTCTTTGGTCCCTCCTTTAGCAGGTTCAATACACCAAAGCTATATATATGTGGAATGGAAATCGTATACACAGGAAGCACTAACGAATGGAGGGTTGCATGTGAGAGTAGAAGACTGACGGGAAGAAAACAAGATGAACGAGGAGACTTGTCTAATAAATGAACAGATATATAAAAGAAAAACGAAAATTAGATAAATTAGCTCTTAGATACTCAGTACTGGGTTGGGAAAGGGGGAGACGACACAAAACATAGCAGAGAAAATCACCTCTGTATATACAAGAGGTTAACCTGATTACACATACTGTCTTACCTCCCTTTGGATCATTTAATCCATGGGAATATATGTAGATATAATATCATCGCCAACTATAGCTTATGATCTCCCTGGTCTATACAGAACTTTTTGGTTTGCGTGAATTTTGTGAATTTCATACAAGTTAATACCAGCAATCATTCAAACCAAAGTTTCAGTCTTCACCCCCATAAATATGTCTTGGAAACATGCATTCCATTCTTTGAATTGTCTACCTATTGATGCTCAGTTGAATTCCATGATTGAAAGGGGTGATTAATATTCGATAGTAAGGTTACCGGACGAGGAGAAAGAAAGGAAAGGAACTGTACCTAGTTCGGGAACCTCGGGGAAGGCACCTCCAAATTTACCGAAGCGAATCTCCATCATTCAGAAACAGCATGCCCATCCCTAAACACACAACGTCATTCCGTTCCCATCATGACTTCCAAGACCATTACCAAAAAGCAAGGGCGACCCAAGAAAACCTCACCCGAATTCGAAATAGCGAAATCTACAACTGCAACTAAGATCGCGACACGGCAGAAATCAACTACTGCGAGTACAAGTAATACTTCCCCGGCGACCAAATCAAAAGGAAATATTGCGCCTGCGGGGTCGAAAACTGTTGCTACACCAGCGAAACCCTCACAAGCTATTCCAACCGCGGCGAAGAGTGAAATTAAAACCGCAGGATCGCAGACGGGTGCGAATACCCGCTCATCAAATACAAACATGAGCAACATGACCCTCGGGAAAAGACCCTCGACCCCTCCTTCAACACCTCCATCCACCACTTCGACGTCCCCTATCCTCGAACAAGTAAAGCAAGTCCAAACTATACGCTCCGCATCCACCAACCACAAGAGCTCCCCTCCAAATCCCCAGTTCCCCAATTCAATACCGCAACCCGAACCCAAACCCGCGCTCTCGACTTCTCTCCCCTTCAAATCTCTAAATCAATCAATCACCTCGCGACTGACTACACCTGCTGGTGCTCGAGCTTCTTCTGCTCCTGGAGCTAAACCCCTGCCGAAAAATTATCAGAGTGTGGCGAGGAGGGTTACTATGACGATTGTTGCTTTGCCGATTTTGTTCGTGACGAGTTGGGTGCTTTGGGATAGGTGTAAGTTATGTTTGTTTTGTTTTCAATGGGGGATTCGGTGGAGGAGAGGCAGCGGAGAATGCGAAGAAAGGGTTTGAAAATGGGGAAATGGGGAAATGGATGAATATATGAATATATGCTAATAGATGTGTGATATTATAGTAGTCCTAGGAGAGCCAAAGAAATCACTAATTCGAGATCCGCCTGTTGTTCCTGGGCCACCGATGGCTGCTGAGATGGAAGCTCGAAATAACAGGAAATCATAAAGAAGGAATTTGAGGCTGAAATAGAGCATATGAGGGATGAATATATGAGTTTATGAGTGCTTGATACTGGAAATACAATGTGGTGATGGACATCCCTAGAATTTGCCATGCTCTTAATTCGATCAAAACCAATATCCAAGACAGGATGGGAGTTCTATGTACTGTATATGGATTGCGCCTGTCGGATGGCATATAATAAGATTTGATCCCCTTTAACAACCAAGGTCATCTTTGTAATTCAAGCATTTTAGTTATCCCCAAGTGGGTGCGCATTCAGATCCTCTCAAGTCTCACGATGAAGTACTTGAGAGCGAGGAATAATTTCATGATGGGAACTTCGGAGTCAAATAGCAAGTTGATAGTTTCTAGCTTTATTATTTCTAACATTTGTTGAGATTAAACTGTGCATAAAGCACAATACTCCAAGTCGGAGTATCTTCTTCGTCTTTACCTTTACTGAATTCTTGCTTTCCCTCATCTTGAAACAGATACCGGTACTCTGGAAATATGTACAAAGTTCTTCTCCCCTGACGTATATACACTGCGTCCATTATCATCCTCGCCTCCCCTTCTCTCTCTCTCTAAAACCCATAATGCATGAAATCTTCAATCCCCAAACTCCAATAAATGCAATCATCTATGTAATAAGTTCCCAATTCTTAACTCCCCAATGTAATTTTCCAAATGTACGAAATTTAAAATCTTAAATCAAATCAAGCCCTTTTCTTTCCTGCTTGACCACTTCTTCGTAATCGACAAATCCGGCGCCTTCGCCGTCGCGATCAACCATGTATCCGAATTTTGATCGGTGGTCTTTGATGTAGGTGGGGATGTCGTTGTTATTGTCTACTCTTTTGTACCACTGTTGGGGGCGTGCGTTAGCTTGGAAATTGTTTGGAGGGTAGAAAGGGGGAGTTTGGGAAGTTGTGGAGGGCGAATTTGATGGATTTGGAAAGATTCCGCTTGGAATTTTGTTTGACTCGCTCAAGTGAGTCGAGTCATCGACCATCAAATACCATTCCTTCAAGAAACTAATCTCACACTCCATATTCCGAAAGAAAGAAAAACCAAACACATACCTGTCCAAATCTATCCCACAAATCCTTCCCCCTGCCCACTCTATCCACAATCCTCCCCGTCATCCTGTACTCCTCCTTATTCAGATTCGTATGACTGAAACTCTCCATCTTTCTCCTCATCTCCTTAATCGTACTGAAACAACTGCTACAATGCCACCCCGCATTCCACATATCCCCTACATTTTTACTATCCCTCTCGTCCACCACAACGTGTCCCCCGTGACGGCTGCGCAAACTGTGCGGCTTTATTGTGTTTTCCAGTCCTTGATAAAATGTAGCTTGAGGATGTTGCCACTGTTCTCCCCGGTGTCGAAATTGGAAAGAATAGTAGTAGAATCGAGAGCGCAGCGTAAGGATGATGGGAAAATTACAATTTCGGAGGACTTGTAGAGAGGCGGGTCGGATCACCTCGTCAATATCGGACACGAGTATTACATCCCCTTCGTTTGGTTTTTGCTCGTGCATTAGCGTGGGGAATACTTGGGTAAACATGGCGTCGCGCTGGAACTTTTCTTGTATCCATGCATTTGCCTCGTATTCTTTGGAGCCGGGCAGCGTGGTATTAGATACGGGGGGAGGTGCGTCGGTGAGAACGTGGTAGATGATTTTATCATTGAAGGCGGCGAATTTCTGGCGGTTTTCTTGGAAAGTCATGTTTTTGGCGAGGCCCGTGAAGGTCGTGGGGGCTTCGAGGATTACAAAATAATCGACCTCGGGGTTCATTTCGTGTAGACGGATTTCGAGCCAGTCGAGCTCGGAATTGATCATGAAGAGATCGTATATCTTGCGTTTCTGGGATCGCTCGGGGTAGGGTGTGAGGGAGTGCGAGGCACAGAGTTGTTCGGCGCTGGCGGCGGGGAGGAAATCATTGTGTATGTGGGATGTGCGTTGCTCGAAGGAGATGTCGTCTTCGGTGATGGTGAGGGGGGAGGATTTGATTCGGGGAATGAGGAGATAGGAGGTGAGGATGTAGAATATGACGCCGACGGAGAGGACTTTGAAAATGCGCGTGGTTTGGTTCTGGAGGGAATATCGTACTTTGGAGAGTTGCATCGCCATCTTGGGTTGCAGTATATGATGAGGCCCTCGAGAAGGTAAACTCGAAGTAAAAAAAAAAAAAAAGTACGGCAAAACCTCTATATGAATACGTTTTTAGCTCCTTTTCCGAGGATTTCTAGGAGGTATCTTACCCTTCATTCATTAAAGTAATCCAAATCTACCTAGATACTTTTGTTCATATATTACTACCCACTTAATCAAGCTTTGATTCTACCCTTTCTCGGTCCAATCCACTCAAAATATGGATATACAGCAAAACCTCTCCATAAGGATTATTTTTTTAGCACCAAAAATAAGGATATTTGGAGATATTCTTATATCGAGATTCCGGAACTTATTATAATAGTCACATATAATCACGTATAATCACATGTAGTCATATATCACTACCCTTTTGAATCAAGATCCAATTATATCCAAAGCTTTTTAACCAGATTCCTACTCTTTCCAACCTAGAATAAAGATATATAGGGATTTCGGAACTCAAAATAATAAGAATATCACCTCTTTTATTACCAAAATAAAAAAAGACCCAAAATATCATCCTTATAGAAAGGTTATCCTTATATCCAGTATCCTTATAGAGAGGTTTTGCTATACAGGGATTTCGAACCCTAAATCTAATGGAATTTTTTCCCTTCGAAATATTAAACGGTGTGAATAAATACATCCTCAAGAAAGGATATCCTTATACGATAACCAGCGTCCTTATAGAAAGATTTTGCTATACATAATATAGAATACAACGAGAGAAATCAGAAGGAATACATACCTAAGTAAATAAATATAAATAAATCTTACACCCCCATCATATCATGTCGTATCTCAGTGAATCATGTCTCAGTGACGTCTCGTACAGTACGTACAGAACCATGACCTACCGGTATATAATAATACAGTAAGTAAAAAACCAAATCAAACCTCAACAAGCAGTTCGCTCGCACAACTTCCTTCGAATTCCTGTGTGTGTGGCACAGCACAGCACAGCACAGCATAGCACAGCACAATGAGCACAGCGCTTGCATATGCCTTACCCATCACTCTTCTCTCTTTTATTCTTTTATTCCTTCAAGAGAGAAGATCCCCTAACTCCTTGGCACTGCCAAGTCCTTAGGCTACCGCTGCTGTCATAAGTTGTTAGGTACAGACCAGTACAAAAACGTTAACGCTCCAATTTTCGCTCTCTCAAGGAATAGGAGTACCCCCAGCCTCCAGGACAGGACCCAAACAAAGTCTCTTCAAACTTCAGACCTGCCTTATGCAAAGTTCAAAGTTCAAATATGGGATTGTATACACCGCCATGCCATAACCAGCAACATTGTACAACTTACCAGCTTACCAGTCAAAATAGCCCCATTGCAAAAACCGCATTGCGTAACGATTAACAATGCGCAGATTTATACATGGCGCTAATGGATGGCTAAGAAAGTAAATACGGATGTAAATCTATCGAGGGTATGAAATTGAAATTGGAATTGTCGTGCCGAGAGGGACTCGCTCGTATTACTAGCTTTGTGTATGGATTGGGTAGGTACAGTACTGGGTTATAATAAGCCTCAGCCTCAATCTCGCTTGGTGACATTGACTGTTGACGATGGGGGTGGATGGTGTTTATACTATGTGGTGCCTGTGCCAGTGTGCCTGTGCTATTTGTCGTTGGAAATTTTTGGTGGTATGTATTGCTGTGGTGAGTAGGACTGTAGCCTGTGTGATATAATATATGAGTAAGGCTGAGACTTGAGATGGGACACAGGTGAGGTGCTACATGTAATTTGAGGATGAAGAAAAGGGATATGGTGTTTGATTGGCTGATTTGTATGTATACAAGGCATTTTCTGCTCAGCCCTATGTTCTACTATAAATATGCGATGTTACCTCACACACACTACTCGAGTACAGTATTCAGGGACGTGTACTCTGTAGGTACATATATAGGTACTCCGTACAGTAAGATCTTACAGCATTTGGGAATTCGAAACAAAGTTTGATTGCTGGTTGTGCAAAAATAGTTCAGTATGAAATAACTAAGATTGTACTCGAGTATCTTTAGTTGTTTTATAAAATGTTAATTTTTGTATTGAGTATAAGATGGACCGTGGAACCTATCGCTAGCTTCGAATGTTTTTCCGGATTAGACAACGCAAATGAAGGGGGGGAAACTCTATTACTGTAAATGGATTTGGACTATGCTCCTCCTTGTTAAAGTATAAACTATGAACTGTAATGCATAGTCAGTATTAGAGTTCATCTATTCATATTTCGTTCTTGTTAAAATAAGCTTAATTCCTTTCCTAGTATTATATCAAGATAATTCCAAGCTTCGAATTGGTCGCCTTACCCGATCAAAATTCGAATAGGGCTGAGGTCTTCATTTTATCACATCATCCCTTTTCAATCCGACCTGATGCTACACTAGATTCTGCGGGGCTAAACAGCCTAACAACGGCGGGAATACTTTTATCGAGTTATTTGTGATTTGAAAGTTTTCTCACCAAGACTTTTATGGCAAAAGCCAAAATGCATCATCTTTGATTGAAGACACTTATCAGAGTTTGTTTTCTGATTGAGTTACGAACGAGGGGATTTGAACCAAATTCATAATTACGGACTGTGCCGAATATATCGCGCCATGTAGCTCATGAAAAGCACGCGGTATACCTACCACCCCAGGATACTGGGGTAGAGGAAGTCGAGATGAAAAGCGATGAAAATCACGCGTCGCGTACGAGATCCGAATATGGGTGCTGGGGAACTGCAATACCTGTGATAAGTTGCATTGCGCACTCAGGCTCGATGGGTTATGTTTGCTGGAAGATAGGTTGGTCGAGAACACGTCGTAGCATTCTCTCATTGATACCAGTCCATAATTTGTCATCGAAATGTTGGATCAGGCTCCTCTGTTCGGCGATAGAACATAATATATCTTCGATAACACCAAGATCAAGTGAGTTGGTAGGGAGATTCCGAAATTGACGATAAATGGCGAAAGCATTCATGAAGTTGTTGGCAGCGGCATAGTTGGCCTGGCCGGGCCGGGCCTTTTTGACCGAGTACACCGGAGATACTGGAGAGGAGGGTGAAGAAGGTTATTGGGGATAATTGTTTTTTTGCGGAGTTGTGAAAATTTCATGTCCCTTGAATTTTGGTTGAGATAGTGGTGCAAAATTCGGAAACTGTCATTATTTAATCTGGCTTTTCCTACAAAGATGTCAACGAAAATTCTTTACAGAATCCAAGCCACCTTGGTATCCTTAGACCAAGTGGCCACTTTTTGGCTGTCGGTGATGCTCAACCTCTACACATTATCACTATCTACTCTGAAGTACTCTCTTATGTCTTTCTTGCATCAGAGACTTCAATTGTCTAAAGTCTGACATCGGTTGCCAAAGCATCATGTATCGTCCTGCAGAGCCTCGTCCAGTGTGCCCTCCAATGCCCCGTGAATGAGATCCACCTGAATCTCCTGCAAAAAGGGAAGTCCTCCCCCCCAAGAACGTCCAGATGCCGTTTTGCCTTGGCACATGGATTCTTTTCGGCCCTGTGAAGCTCTCTGAATAGAGATATCTGCTCCTCAGCTGGAGTAATCTCATCATTTTCGGGCACCAACATCATCACTGGTGGAGGCCGGACAAGCTCCAAGATTCCCCGAGGTTATCACATAGCCATTTAAAGTATGTCTGAAGAGTAGTGCGGTTCACAAAATTGGAGGCTCCGCAATCCTCCACGTTTGAAACGAACTTCAGTGCCACAGTAAGGTTGACCAGAGCCATATCTGCCAGGCTCCCTCCATTTGTCGTGATGACTGGCAAAAAAGAGATGCATTTCCTCTGAGTTGAGATTCGTGGTCTGGACACACTTGATGAGGACGTTTAGAAGCTTCCTCGGAGAGGAGAGATTTGCCAATGGGCAGACGAGACCCAGCAAAAGACATTCCCAATATCCGATCCTGCTAGAATCAACAATAGGTATGTACTGAGAAAACTCAGTGCATCGGAATAATGCTCAACTTGTTTAAATGGGTCAACGTCATGTCGCGGGCTTCCCTCGCTCTGACCAACACTGCGAGGATCGTATAGAGTAATAGAGGGTTGAGACAAACTCTCTGGCAATTGTAGCCATTTGGCAAATAAGGTGAAAATCACTTTGTCTTTGATAGTAGTGTTCTGTTATAACTACCTTATTTGATTTATCAATCACCGGGAAATCACAGTACGAACAGATGCAGTACTGGGATACTAGAGACGCATATTGAATCGAATTAGTATCAAGTACTGCTACCCATATTTGTTGGCGAAATGGACCTCTAGCTACCACTCAAACATAGACCTGGCCTATGCTAAGATCCTTCAACTACTCTCAGAGTATGCCCATTGCCCATCGTCCATCAGTGGATCGGACCGGCCAAATAACCATACCTTGTGGGAGAAATAGATACGTGGCGCATGGTCAAATGATTCTTCAAGAATCGCGGCAAAGACAGCAAGGAATATCAGTGATTCGCATTTTCTGGTCGAAGCTTTAGCCCTACAAGGGTACTAATTATAGCCCCAGTATAAATCTGATAGCTTACAACTTGAGTCTTGAATTCATGTGCAGTATTTCCCGGCAAGGTTGTACCGCACAGCTACATTAGCTCGCTTCAAGTAGATTATGTGCAGAAAGCATTTAGGTGGGAAGGTAGAGGTAGAATGTAGGTAGGAACGTCATGTACTGTTTTGAGAATACAGAAGGTGTAGATACTGTCGCGCAGTATTTCTTGCGGTCATGCTGAATATACTTTCATGAATCTTCTCTTGATTAAGATAGTGTATAGTGTTCCTGAAAGTCTTGGATATCATTGGGTTTGAATTTGATCTGCTCGTAACAAATTAAAGAACAATGAATATGAATGGTTTGACAGCGATAGAGCAGGAGTATAAAGATTCTTTCAGATCTAAAGGATCATTGAAATTAATAACTGCATTGGGCCTTGATACCGGTATATAGAATATTTGACCTAGTAGTCCTTGTGAAATATCTTGTTATCTTCCACATTAACAAATTCTATGACGAAGTATCATGCAAGTGAATTGTCTCGATTTCTACCATGGTCAAGCCACAATTCCACACGGGCCTCTAGGTACAGTACGGCATCTCAAACTCTTCGATCACTCCCGCCTCCTTAGGTCATGTGCCTTAACGCATAGGTATTTCAATCGCAATCCAGTAAGATACAACAACCCATACCATCCTCTCACGCAACATCCCCATAGCTATAGTATCCGATTCGCTGCCTCAGATTTCTGCGACCGCCAAATAAAACTTACGATACCATCGTATATCATGGCTACCACCATACAGCTCATACGAAGTCTGTCAAGCCGCTTCGGAACGCTTGAAGTGAGTTCAGACGATGATCGGGATCCGACATCACGAGGCAGACGAAGATTAACACTACGTAACGCAGGGCTATCATATGCTTGCTTTCTTGACATTACTATTGATTTCCATGAAGATAGCGAGGCAAGGGCAGTTTTTAAAAACACTCTTAGTGTGATTATCGTTGCTGAGGATGCTTCCCTGGTATAAATCTGCTTGGATTTCATCATCCTGATGCGAACCTTGATAGTAAGTATTTTGGAACGGCCTCTACATCTCGCCGCAAGCAATGGGAGAAACCAAATCATTGAAAGCCTCTTCAGACACGGTGCTGATTTAAGCTCAATACAACCACACTGTCGCCGCTAATCCCATCTCACAATTGGAAAAGATAAATCCATCCGCTCTTCCGGAAGCGCTTCACGGATAGCTGCATTGATTGGCCATCTCGCCCAACCACGTTTCAACGCTGTATTGCCTTCTTCAGAAGTCGAGATCAAGAATGTATTTCGTGCGGCGACTAGAAGCGGAAACTTGTATATGGTTTTATTCCCTTATGAATAAAATCCTGGAATCTCAATCTCCGGGTCTACAAACACCAATTCTTGCTGAGATGCTTCTTCAAAGTGTGTATTGGAATATGGGTAGAGAAAATTCAGTCAAAGCATTGATTAAAAGCCATGTAAATGTCAATTGCGTGGCATCATGTTCTTGGTTCAATATGCTAAAGTGGTCGCCAATTTATTATGCGGCTCACAGAGACCGATAAAAGATCGTTCAGTTACTTCTCGGAGATGGTGCGGATGCACGTATATTTGCCACATTAACACCTGGCACTAGCCTCGATGCAATAAGCTTAGCTGTTGCGAGAGGCCGGCTTTGATGTGCGCCATCGACAATGGGGATTCCCCGACGGTGCGCCTCTTGATTGAAGCCAGCTGCTCTGTTAATAGTTTCGACTATTGGTATTAAGACGAAAGGGGTGGGTATCCATACATGTTAGTGACTTCATATGTACCGATAATCGCGCAGCTCAATATCAGATAGAAACTCCGCGTATGTGAAGCAGTCAGCCGAGATTTTGGTTGTATATTGATATCAAGATGTGTACGCCATACTTCGACTCTCCTCTCCTCTTCGATTTACAATGGATCTTACCGATGTGAACAACTTGAAGGTAGCCAGTCGGGACAGACTCCTAGGTAGTAGAATATGCACAAGTAAAATGATGCGAAGAGGGAGGACTCAAGCAGTTGCCGCAAGTTGTTTTCAATTTCACAGTATGAATAATAATAATATGAGCTCAGAAAACAGTACCCAAGCGTTGTTCTGGGAACATTTATCGCCAGCAATAGCATATTCCATAGCGTCATTCGACTCTGTGGTTCTGATATATCTCTGGGACTAGACTTTGTCGTATATCATATGGATGGATACGTGTTGCGATGTGGCAAATAAACAGATATATCCTCTCTGCCTTCATCTTGGTAACTCTACCATTACTGCTAAATGTTTTGATATTAAGAGCTAGGGGTTTGATGCCACCAAAGGAAGGTATCGAAGCAAAATATGGGCTCCGTATCCACAAAGGAGTATCATACTATGACCAACTGGTGTGAATGTCTGGATGTGAATTTCCTGGGGAATCACATTTAAGATTTGATCATCGATGTCTTTATTCTTTTCTCTGATTCTTTAAAGATGCTTCGGTGGATATACTCACTTTCCAGTCTTCCTGTTTGTGTTTAAGTTCTTGTCGTTGTCCCGTTGCATTTTGCCATGATAGTCAGAGAGGAGTTAGAAATATAGGCTGTGGCTTTCAAAATTCTTCTAGAATTAAACTCGGATTCCTGCTGTGTATACTGTGACAAATCTCGTTCATGATCTATGAATGGACAAATTTCAGTACTGGAAGCGCGCATCATATTCCAATAAATCTTGAATGGTGAAGCTTATGTATTCGAGTGTAGGCATACTTGTACTTCTCGAGTAATTTGGTATTCTGAGCCCTCGGGAGATATTTCAACTGTGATGGAGTTTGATTGTAGAAGAGTTTGTAGTACCCTCCTCGAAAACGCCGTAGACCGTAGGATTATCTCTTCCCACACGCTGTTGTACATTTCATTCAACCAAAAGACATCTACTAAAAGACATCATGGCTTTTGTCCAGGTGCTCCAGCCCCTATACCCCCCGGCATCTCTTTTGCTCCCTCGGTCTTCAATTTTCGCAGTGTTTGGTCGCGCTGATATTCCATAACTCTTCGTTTCTTGAAGTATTGAACCTAATGAGAAGGCGCATGTCAGTAACCAAACCAATCTAATCGGCCCTCATTCATTAAACAACACTTGATCATCTTGCTACGCCAAAATAAACCTACCCAACTAGTTGCACAATTCTTTTCGAACCCTCTTGCCTCTGTTCCACAAGATTTCTCGGCCTTGACGTTCTCCGTAATGCTATCAATGATTCCATCTCTATCCAGACACCTGAAGTATGCATCTCTTGCTTCCCAGCATTGTGACCTTTGACTTCGATCCGGTGCTATCGGCGCGCCATCTGCGGCAATCTTTGGAGGGGGTAGAGATGCTGGAGAGGAGCCGAATAATCCCATGGTGGATGGATGAGGAGGTTTGGACTTTGGAGGAATTGCGCCCCCGTCGATATGTTTCTAGGCGGGGCGGCAGAATAATTCAAGCTAAACCTAAATTCTTTCTCCGCCTTTCTTCATCCGAACAGCTCCCGGTGAGCTCTTGGTGAGTTTCGTAAATCTGATAATCCCCGGCGTCTCGGTGAGCCTTCTAGCTGCATGAATATGGGCTCAAGTAGATCTGATTTCCAAGTCTAGTCATAGTCACTGCCGATAATAATAAAATCAACACATACAACTAAGTTCTAAGTTACCGGTATATCGCAATAAGTAGTTCTACTACTCAATATTCCCACCCATGGATGCATCAAGGGAAAAGCTTCGGAAAAGGGATCGTTTATCCGCATCCGGGTAGCCTACATGTTTCAAAAACTAAGGAAACTATTCAATCAATATTACTCAAGTACCACTCCACGGTATAAATTATAAATACAAACAATGCTGAGAAACGAGAATCGCCAATATCTTGTGCCGTTGCAGTTGTTGCACGTACGATAGTGGGGAACCAGATACTGACCTGTTCGAAGATGGGTTCGACTCTATACTAATTGGTCTACGAGTACGAGTAGGTGATTTAGGCGCAATATGGTAGTATGTTGCCATTATGTCGCGTTTGTCGTGTATTATGATACAATTGTGTGGCGACATGGGTCTCGAGACTGTGTAGAGTCTCCTCAATACTATGCACCTTGGAATATAGCAAATTGTAAAGTAAAAATGCGATTGATACTTCGAACGGGCAAGAATAGAAATTTGAAGCTCACCGGGAATGAATGCCCCATGCTTATGTTAAAGCCTTAACCAACTCGTCCGAGCGCGCATAGGATTTCCATTTGAGGAGCATTTCTCCCCCCTCTCAACGATATGATCTGATACAAGGAAGATCATCTCCCACGTCAGACACCATTTTTGCTATTTGACTGATAAGTCCACTAATCTTCATAGTTTCACTAACAGTTCCCTGTGTACTCGAATAGATCAAAAGCAGCTCACTCAACTACAGGAACTATGTCTTCCCCTAAGTACTTTTGTACTCCAAACCATTTGAATATCCTGGATGAGTATTTCACGTAAAACACAATCTTTCGCAGACTCCATATAGTCTCATCTACTTCGATCCCTTTTGACTGCCGATTTTGGTCGTTTCCAAGTCAATATTCAGGTCTGATGTCGTGGGCATGGTCATGGTTATGAATGGTTTGATACCGGCCCCAAAAGGTCGCGTTCGAACGAAAGTCGGGCATAAATACCTCGAAGCTTTACAATCAAAACTAGATGGGGGTTATCAAAGTTCAAGCTCATCATCCTCAGATGATGGTGGGAAAAGTTCTCCAGGTTTGAATCTATTGATTCTTGGTATTACTTCTGGTACTGCTATGGATGATATTGATTTCGCACTCTGTCGTTATACTCAAGAATCTCCAGAGGCATCATTACACTTGGATCTTATTCAGGTACACATATGTTTTCGGGCGTCTAGGGACATGGCTGATTGTTCTGCTAGTATGATTCGGTCGTTATGCCTTCAAAGATTCGATCCGAGATCCTTTCGATGTTACAAGAAGACGCAGCTCCACCAAGTATGCTTTCCCAGATGGACGCAGAAATGGGTCATACTTTCGCGAACGCTATTCACATATTTTCACATAAGCATGGCATTTCCGTTGACGATATCGATTTGATCGGATCTGGAGGGCAGCTCGTAAGCTTAACTGGTGCTCCACCTCGAGGACAACACCGATCGAATATGTGTTTGGGGGAAGGAGCTGTGATATCTGCGAAAACAGGTGTAACAACTGTTTCCGATTATCGAACGGCAGAACAAGCAGTTGGCCGACAAGGTGCTCCTTTATTTGCATATTTGGTCGGGTTATTACTTCACCATCCTACCAGATTGCAAATTTGTATCACAATTGGAGGCATTACAACTGTATGCTTTATCCCGTCGGATAAAAAGGGGGGGATAGATGCAATGTACGATTGGGATACAGGTCCAGGCACATGCATGATTGATGCAGCCTATCGTCACTTTGGCCTCGATCCCCAAACGGACCAATCCTCTTTCCTACACGGTACAATCTGCCATGAAGTAGTTGAGCAACTCCTTACCAACGATGATTATCTAAGTGCACGACCACCAAAAACCACAGCAAGAGAAATATATGGTGATGCTATGGCATATAAGATTATAGGAATGTGCGCATATCAGGGTTGCTCTCCCGCAGATACCATCTCTACTCTCACTCGCTTCACCTCCGCCAGCATAGCCCAACAACTCCTTCTGTACGGACCCGGTCGTGACGCCATCAATGCAGCCGATATAACAGTCGACGGCCGCGGCATGTCCCACACATCCCTCATCTCAGACCTACAAACCGAATTTCCAGGGGCTCATTTTGGCAGTTTCGACAAAACAGGTATCCCATCAAATGCCAAAAAAGCCGTAGGATTTGCGATGCAAGCTATGGAAGCATTGTTAGGAAGAGCATTACCCGTCCCAACAAATGCGGATGTGAGGAGGCCCAATACTATAACGGGAAAACTGGCGCCGGGACTTAGGTGGAGGGAAGTGATGGAGAAGAGTGTAAGATTCGGAGGGAGTGGAAGGGGTTGGGAGGGGCTACCTGAGGTGCGGGAGTTGGTTGTTAGGCAGAGGGATATGGGGGATGTTTTGGGATTGGGTATTGGGGGCGAAGAAGGGGAAGGAGATGTAACAGGTGAGTAGGTATAGGTTCTACAGTTCTACAGGAGTTTTCATGAATTCTTTAGAATTAAGTTCAGACCCAAATTGTACAACTCTCTACAAAGAGGTTAATTCAATATTATGATTTCACAAAACCTCTTCTGATTGGCTATAAGTATTACAGGAACCTTTGGCACAAATTGGAAAATTTCCAAGATTTTCTTGAAATATTATTTTTGGATGCTAAGATTATCCAATTGAGCTTTTTGGGAGTAACTTTTAAACCACGGGTTTCTTATGAGAAATGTCAAGTAGTGATAATAATAGATATCATCTCTATCTCTATTCAGATCATTGAGAGAGAAAAGAAATTGAGAAATATACATATTTGTGTTAATAATACTGTTAATGATTCAATTCTATCTAGATATTTGGGATACCATATAATAATGATTTAATTTTTTTTATCCAGACAATTGAAGTACCTACCTAGTACCTATCAATACATCCATCCCTTGCTTCCCAATATGATAAAAACACTATGAATTATTTTCCCGTCAATACCTACCCGTCCATGAAGGTATCTCTATCCAGACAATTGAACTACAAGATAACAATTTGATTTCTTTTCCCACCCAACGCCTGTCCATGATTTTATCTCTATCCAGACAATTGAGTATCTTTGCATCTCTCGCTTCCCAACATAACATTTTCTGTTAATTTTCCCACCAACGCCTATCCATGATTTTATCTCTATCCAGATAATTGAAGTACATATACATCTGTTGCTTCCTAACATTATAAACTCTTTCCCCCATCGACATCTATCCATGATCCCATCTCTATCTAGATACTTGAAGTACGCATCTCTTGGCTCCCAACTCTATACCCTCTAAATTCGATCCGGTATCAGTACGTCCCCTATGTCCACCCTTATGTTCGGCTTTGGCATCGGAAAGTTGTTGGGCGAAAGGAGAGCGTTTACGGAGGGCGGGTCCGTTCCAGTAGATGACGTAGACGGCGATGACGAGAACGAAGGAGATACAGGCGAGGATTGTCGAGGCGTAGGCCAGGGAGCGAGATGGGTCCGGTGACATATCTATAAATGTGTGTTAGCAGTTGCAGAGAATTTACTCATGCCGGGAGAATACATACTTTTAAAGAATGGAGTGGCAGGAATAGTCAAAACACCGGCTAAGAAATCTCTCGCCCATCCGTTTCCACCCGTCGCAGAAGCTGCATATGGTCCATAGGCACAAATCATATAATCAATGGTCGCCATGTAGATACTGTAGTTGGCGATACCGACTATGGCTCCGAAAACCGAGGAACCGATCCAGTGAAGTGGTGGACCAGTTGATGTCCAGGCGAAACCGATGAGACCAATTGGCAAGCATGGTGCTGTGTAGAGTAAGAACCAAAGTCTAGATTCGAATTGCGCGTGTTCGTCATTCGGCTTGTTGGTGCGTTGCTTGATATTGCGTTTGATAGCAGGAATGAATGCAAACCAAGCGATGAAGTATCCGATCAGAATGGGAATGAAAGAGAAACCTACTTCAATGGTTGAGAAGCCCCATTGTTTATAGACAAGAGCAAATGATTGAATGAACATGAAGATAAGTGCGTCTGAGAAACCTGATAACAAACTCAATGTTAAGACGATTGGCTCTGTCAAGAACATCTTATACGGTCTGCCGAAAAGAATCAAGGTCTCCTTCATCGAGAATCGTTCCCGAAATGGCGTAAGTTCGTTGGGACCGTAGACGTTTGGATTTAAGCCCGACTTTCGCGTATTCTTTGCGATCTTATCCATCATGATGGTACTTCTAGTTTCAGGTACAAGGACCAAATGAAGAATCTGTACAGCCACACCGAAAATAAGTTGAATCCAGATGTTCCATCTCCAAGGCAGATAAGCTTCGACGAAACCACCAACAACAGGACCTACGACACTTCCACCAACGGATGAGAATACTACAAATGCAACCGCGTATTGTTGATCATCCGCTTCCCACATATCAGCAATCATACCCAAGGTAACAGAACCACCAGCCGATGAAATACCACCAAGCGCACGACCAACCAAGATAGTTGCAAAATTGGGAGCAATGGCAACGGGAAGTTGAAAGATGTTGACCAAGAGAAGAGAAGCTTGTAAAACCGGTTTGCGTCCCAATTCCTCCGACCACGGAGCCCAGATCTCGCAACCAAAGGCATAACAAACCAAGAAAATCATAGCACCAGCTCGGGCGCCTTGTGCGCTGACACCAAATTCCTCAACGATACCATCAATGCCATTGGAGTAGAGACTGGTGTTGAGGTTCATGGACACCTGAACCATGAAGATGACCGACAGAATCAACCATTTCTTGTATGTGGTAAAGGAATATCCCAATTGGTCCCAGCAATCCTCCTCAGTGAGTTCGATCTTGTCGGATCCTTCGCCATCGGTTTTCATGTTGTTGTTGCTATTGTCAGAGGGAGAACGAGTGGCCCGATTGGTGCGGGGAGGGTGATTAGCTTCGATGTTTTCGAGATGAATTGCTGGGCCAGAATCTTGTCCAGAATTTTCATCGGCCTTAGATGCTTTTGAAGAGGATTCAGAATCGCGGACGATGCGTGTTCCACTGTCGGGCTTTCGCATCTTGACACCTTCTTTCATCTTGGTTGTGTAATATTCGATACTGTCTGATCGTATGTTATTTTCGTAGAGCTCGTAGAGTGATATTTTGTAAAATTAAAATATGTGTAATGATGAGCGTGAAGAAGAAAACTGGGAGGACAGAATCTATTTAATGGTTTTGGTATGGATTCTAGCTCCGGTTGAAAGGGGTCAGGTGGTATACTTAAGTGATATCACTATAGTGTGAATTTAGTCATTCATTCAAGAAAATCCTGATGGAACGATTCTAAAAGTAGTTTAGAGAGTAGGTAGTGAATCTACGAGACTCTAGTAGTTGTCGATCTTTTCCACACTCTGAAAATCTTGGTGATGAGATGAGACTAATGAGAATAACTTATGTAGAAATATCCGGGGAAGTACAAGCACGGCGAAAGTTATGCTCTTGAATAATAGTATAAGAGAAAATTATACCAAGATGAATGGAAAACAATTGAATACAGAAGATAAAGTAACAGTGAATTTGGATTGAATTGGAGAGTTTACTCGAGTAGATTTCATGGTTTCCCACTTGGTACGTTGGTACGTTGGTACGTCATTTTTGAACTTTTGTATGCAGAGCCGCCGCTCACCCGGCTCATCGTGACTTCCCAACTTCCTTGCTGAAGACCGCCCCGGGGGTGGGAATAACCACCAACCCCCATCCTGTTTTTGGAGTAAGAACCAATCAGGTTATGGAAACTTTCCCATCTAAGTTCCGCAGGACGGATTGTATTAGTAGCTTTGAGCTTGGATCAATAGTTCACTGCATGTTATTAGGTTTAGAACTAGCTGGGAACCATTGACGCATACTTATGAGCAGACTGATTCTCGCCACTTCTTTTACTCGCACGAATAGGAATACAGTAGGCATATGAGTAGGAGCAGACAACGGGAATCTCATGAACCCTAAAAACCACACTGCTCAAATAAAAGGTACAGTACATTATCTTCAATTACTTCAAGCGATGAATTTCATTGAACCATACCTAGGTATAGAGTCTTGACCTTCGAAAGTACGAGTCGAACAGCACAGATTGCCGTAACTATTGAATTGACGGCCAATAGGGGAGTGACGGCAAGGCAGGCCTTCCTCAGTGTGGCAAATGTACCAGTATTTTACGTGAAATTCGAGCCACGCCACGTCGCTCGCGTTTGACCTTCCCTATTGACAGATCTTCCCCACTGAGTCCTAGAGTGGTGTTTCTCCATTTGTGCGTGTGGGGTAAAGAATCATGGGGTAAGTGGTGAAATCGTAGAGTATTTGATAAGAATGCAAGTGATGCTTGCTGATAAAACTTGTTTTGATATCAAAGATTCTGCCGCGAATTCGGCATTAAAACAGAGGGGCTTCGGCTTCACGGAGCTTATAAATTTTGGTATAAAAGATGCTCAAGGGCCGTACACCAAACAAGAGATTCATCTAATCCAGGCATCTCTTATTCTATACTATTTTGGTATAAAAGATACTCGAGGGCTATACACTAGAATAATATAATCCAGATAATATCTCATAAATTTGAAATAAGTTGCTTATATAATTCTATCTCTATATATAATATTCTACTAGTGAAGAAATATTCTCGAATTATAGAACTTATTCTAGTATATAGCTCTTGAATATCTCTTATTTTATAGTTTTTATAATAATACTCGAGTATATTATTAATACTTGCTAAAAGCTATAAATATACTAAAAATCGACATTTTTGACTTTTAACTAAAACATTGAAAACTTTAGAAACGAGTTTTATATACTCGAGTATACCGATATACTAGACTATAAGTCGGCCGAGTTATAAAGTAACGGCGTCTAGACTATAATACTCGAGTCATAATCTAGTAGATAAAGCATTTAGTATTATTGAGATAACGAGCTTTGACTTCGGCCCCTCAGTGCCGAAAAAACAATTCGAAGAGCGCAGCGAGGCGAATCGTTTTTCTAACCTCCGTTCCTATGTCGCAGCTCGTCCTTCGGAGGTATATTAAGTTTGTGTGAAATAAGAGTGTTTTATAATATGAAAGGTTAGATGACTATTAAGCCCGAGATTCCGGTGTCCGTTGTTGCGCATATAAGCGGCATTGCAAGGACCCTAAACTTTTTTGACCGCTTTAGCGTATTCGTATTGATTTGTTCAAGCAGGGGAAGAAATTAATACATCCCGGATATATTACTATCCGATGTTGCTATCACGTGACCAGTCCCTCCCTCTGCCTTGATTTGGAATTTGGTTCTTGGTTCCTAGATTTTTGCTCTATATAATAATAAATACAGTGGACGGACAAAATGCCTCTTCAAACATATCAATACCACCTTCTCAATGAAAAATCAATGATTCTACATTATCATTCACACCTCCAGCACTCAGGGCAATCTCTCCCATTCTTATAACCCTCTCCTCCAGTTCAAATCTCACAACCACAACACCAAAAATCCCAAATGACGCTGCTGCAAGGGAGAAAAGACAAAAATAAAATCAAGATTTCGGTTAAGGTTCACCACCGAAGTCATATATGCCTTGGTCTTTTGAGCCTCTTTTTCTTGGATACGGTGAATGCAATGGGTGTTTTGTACCCCAAAGGGGTTGCGTGTCGAGAAATTTATTTGTTCCTTGCTTTTTTTTGGGAAGGCCCGGAAGGGAGGAATTCAGGAATGGAGGAATAGTTGGAATTTGGAGAGACAGGTTTATAGGTCTGTAGATTTGTAGGTTTTTTTTGTTTGTCTGGGTTTATTTCCTTGATTCTTTGGAGTGAGCATGGTCATGTGCATGTGGGAAGGAAGGGACTCTTGTTGCTCGTCGGAGATTTTGCTTCCTTGTTTTGGTTTTGTTCTTGTGCTTGTGTTTGTGGAGGAGACATGATATTGTAGTGGTGAAAAGGTACTTTTGTTGCTTGTCTGTCGTGAAATTTCGTTGCCTTGTGAGGGCGTTTGGTGTTTAAACTTTATGTGGCTGTTCATGGTCACCATCGTGTGGTAGTGATGGTGATGGCGATAGTGAGTGAGGATACTGAAGAGGGCTGAGTTACCTAGGCATCATATGTGTCATACTGGGGGGAAGGCAGGTTTGAAGCTCAGGAGATGAGCAACAAAATGTATGTATGCACGGGAAGATCTGCACGGGAAAGGTCGCTTGTTGTTGAGTTGTTTTGTTTATAGGCGTGGTATCTTCATGATACACCTGGAGAATTTGTTCCAATTGCTAATGATTGGTTCGTAGTTTGGAGTTATCTTTGCTACAGGCTGCATGTTTTGTTGCATATCTGATTCTGATGGCATTTCCTTGGTTTTTGGTTTGGGGATGTTGAAGCTCAATAACTAATAGTGTGCTGTGACGAGTATGTGATAGTCGAACAAAAGCAGGTTTGAAAATGAAATGAGCCACAAATTGATAAAAGGAGTTTTTGGGAAATCAGCAATGGAAAAGGAAGGTCTCTATAACATTATTCTGATTTGTTATTGGTTGCATTTAAGAATTCTTCTGGTTATTTAGATATCAACTTGAATATTTGAATACCAACTTCATGGGTATAGACTTTAGATTTGCCAAAAGCTTTATAACATTTTGTTGCATATCTAAATCAATGAAATGCCTTGGTTATTGATCTGGGAATGATGCTGGAGTGTTACTGAAGTCTTATACACTTTTGTTGCATATCTGAAATGGAATTTCCTTGGATATTGGGTTGAGGAGGATGATGATGATGGTGACAATGATAGAGTATACAGAGTAAAACAGGCTTGGGGGTGATGAGACAAGCAACAAATGGTTCACAGAGCTGAGATGAAGAGGGTTGCAGGGGCTAAAACTTGAAGAAAGAGGAGAAATCAGGATGATGATGATGATGATGGTAGAATACACAGTATAATAAGTAAAACAGGTTTGGGGAAGATGAGACGAGCAACAAATGGTTCATAGGGCTGAAAATTGAAGATCGAGGAGGAGGATGATGATGGTGATGTTAGAATGTATCAAGTTAAAACAGGTTTGGGGAAGATGAGATGAGCAACAAATGATTCATAGGGCTGAAAATTGTAGATCGATGGGTGTATGTATTTCCCCTTCTAAGATCTAAACCCTATTATATACCCTATGGGCACCCCAGATAAGGTATTACCTTATTATAAGGAATTATCGTGCTAAACCTCGTATTGAAGTGAACTAAGATCTTGTATTGAGATTTGAAATCATGATTTAATTCTAATATGTTGGCTTTTAGTTAAATATAGCTTCATTTTTTTCACCCTGAATCGATGATTTCAAACTATCTTTCAATTATATTCCTTTAAAACTTTTTATTCAAATCAACTTGAATGTTTTCAACTTGGATGTTTTCAACTTGAATGCTTTCAATGTTTCAATATTCAGTTCAGTAAGTCAGAATGTATTTAGTAAATCAGATTGAATGCTTTCAATGTTTTCAATAGTATTCAGTAAGTTAGAATGGTTTCAATCGTTTATATAAATGATTAAGGGTTAGTGATGACAAGGGTGTGACGATGAGGTTCAAAATAAAGTATGAAATTCATAATAAGGGAGGAGAGGGTTAGGAAGGCTAGGGAGGCTAGGGAGGGAGGGGAGGAAAGAGAGGGGGTGGCAATTGAGAGGTCCGGGAGAGGGTGGCTATTGGCTATCGATATCGGAGGCCTTTTAAGCTTCAAATCTCAATACATATTTTGAATCTCAATATACATGCTAAAAAGTCCGCTTGCAGAGAATGGCCGATTTCCTTATCTGAGGCCGTAGGGATACTTTGGAAGATTTGGTTTCATTAAACAGGAATAGTGTTATATTTAGTATATAGTAGTAAAACGGTGACTAATATCAAGTATATACTACTTCAACTTGTAGTAGTAAATACAAAATCTACTTATATATATAGATATTAATTCAAAATAGTGATATTGATAGTATTCACAGATACTAACTCGGAAATATATATTTGAAACAGATAAATTCCCTATTAAATCTATATTTAAAATATTTTAAGAAGTATAAAATTTA